TCGTAACTGGCCTCCTCGTCCGTCTGTGGGGGGGGCGGGGGTTTGTCATCCCCTTTCTTGGCTCCAGCCCCCGTGCTGGCCGACTCCGCCGATCCACCATCGCTGGGAGTCTGCGCGGGAGCCGACGGCGGGGCCACCGGCACTCTCCGTGCTTCCGACAAGCGGAGTGCCTCGGTGACACGGGCTAGCTCGGCGGTGAGCCCAGCGATGGTGTCGTCGCGCTTTTCCTCCTCTTTCTCCTTCTGCATCTGGGCCTTGAGGGACATGTTGTAGTACTCGGTGTCCATGCGCACCGAGATTTCCTGCAGCAGTAGGAGGAGGAAAACGTGAGGGCCGCGGTGGTTTGGTTTACACTCCCTACTGCACGTCGGCGACAGTATCGTCGACTTACCTCTGGCTGTATTTGGGTCGGGTCGCGACGCTTGTTGATCGTCTCGGTGTCGACGCTCTCCACCCGTTTCGCCCAGTGCTGGAAGAGGGGGATCCGGCAGAGCTTGGAACCTTGGACGTACGGGTGCCATGGTGTGCGGACTAGCTTCACCGCTAGGTCCTCGGCGACGATGCGGCGCAGCATCAGGAGAGTGCGCCAGAAGTGCACCGCGGCTTTGTCGGCGTCTGACCCCTCGACAGCCTTCCCTTCCGCCTGCCATTTGTCACGGGTACGGGGAGCTCAGAAAAGGTCGGCAACACGACTCGGCGGCAAGCTACGAGGGCGTCGACTAACATACCTCCTTCAGCATGTCGTCGACGCCGGGGAATATGTGCTCGGCGAGGAGCTTCAGGAGCTTCTCGGAGGGCGGCACCCTGCTCCGACCCAAGAAGTAGTCCTGCTTGTACCCCGAGTACCCGGCCTTCTTCATCACCACCCCCACCGGAATGGCGGTGATGTACGCTCGCGTCATCTTGTCGAGAGCCCAGTGTCCAAGCTCCGCGATCTCGGCGCGCGGCGTGCCGTCGATAGCCAGCTCCTGGGCCCCGCCCGCTCGAGCGGCGTGCACGTTCCTCTTGCAGAACACCTTGTTGGTGTCCCACAACTGCCGCGTCCAGCGTTGGTGGGTTGCCGCAGAGAGCTCACCCTGGTCGGTGTCGTTTTTGGCGAAGAACAGGTGCTTCTTGTACCAGCTAGCGCGTGTGCTGGTGTCGACCGGCGGAATGAGGCGGACGCCGTGAAACTGACCGATCTGATCGAGGACGAAGTGCAACCACAGGCCCGTCTCGCCGACGGCGCACAACTCCGCTTCGAGGTGCCGCGCGGCGTAGCTCTGCTGCAGACGAGCATCCTTGGACGTCTTCGAGTTCCGCGCTCCGATGACCATGACGACCGGCTGGTTCTCCGGGTTGATCGAGGAGGTGCTCGCCAGTCGGTACAAGAAGATGTCGGGGAGAGTGATCTCGCGGATGCTTGCACCGCGCAGGAGAGAGTGGTGGGAGAGTAGCGTGAGCACCTTCAAGAGAAGAAACCTCCACAGCGTCTGCGAAGGACCCGTACCCCGCGGGTTCCACGCCTTGGCCGCCCACGCCGGCAGCACCCTGAACATGATCTGGCGGAACTGTTCGGCGGTGTAGGTATCGCCGATGGTTCCGCGACGGCGATCGGCGCAGTTCCTGCCAACAATGCCATGGGCAAGGGGTATTTAGGGCGGCGTCGACAAAGATCATGACAGCAGGAGAGTGGTCGACGTAGGTTAAAACATAAACTCACTTGATGTCCCGCTCGTTCTTGGTGCGGATCATGTACCGCACCTCCGACCTGACCACCGATATCTCCCTCATGATGCTCAGTTCCGTCTCCCGGAAGAGCGTCGCCTCCACTCTCGCCGCCATCTGGCATGCCTTTATGCGCCCGAGGAGCGTGTGTACCGTTGTCGACTGCACCGGCTGTGTTCCTGTGGCGTTGTCGGCCCCCTTGCCGGACTCGGCATCGAGGTTCAACTCCCGAATCATGTACTTCACGTATGCGCGAAGCCGGTCCTTGGTGACCCTAGGGCCGTGCAGCCACACGTGAGACCGGGGGACATCGGCCTCTTGGTCCCAGTTTTTCTTCTTGTTCTCCCGGATGTAGTGCCCTATCTCGTCGACGTGCTTAAGCCTGTACTCCTGCGGAAGCTTGTTGCGAATTTGCTTCAACATCTTCGCCGCCCACCTCTTGTAGTGATAGATCCACGAGGTGTACTGCCTCAGCGTGCTGTTCCTCTCCACGGTTTGCAGGTGGCGAAGAGCGTCCATGACGAGCACGTCTACGCACGCGTAAACCATGTCCTCCTCGACGAAGTCTGCCGCTCTCCACTGTTCGCGCGGCACCGCCAAGTTCTCCTGGTCCTCGTCCTCGTCCTGGTCGAGCAGTATGTCGATGAATTGCAGTTCCCGCCTGAGTCGTTCGTCCAAGGTGCGCGGATTAGAGCTACGAGGTGGACGGTCGTCGTTTTCGTCATCGCTTTCCTCCTCCTCCTCCTCCTCCTCCTCCTCCTCCTCCCCCCCCTCCTCCTCCGCGTCCTCGTCATCGACCTGGTTTCCAGGGGCGGCCGGTGCCGACGAGGTACCTGGCCGACCATTTTGCGTAGGAGTCTGTTTTTTCTTCTTGTTGAACTTCCCTATCGGCGGTGGCGGAACGTCCGTGGTGAACACCCCTTCTGGGATCTGCGTCAGCTTGTCCAGATCGTAGAGTAACTGCAGGTTGTCTTCGTCGGTAGGTGTCGGACTGTGGTCGGTGGATGTCGGACTGCGGTCGGTGGTCGTCGGACCCTGGTCGGTGGATGGCCTAGCGTCGGACATGTCGACGTCGGCCATGTCGGTACACGTCTGCTGCTCTACCGTCGTCCGTGTGCGTTGGGGAGGTTGTTAAACCACTGCCGGTACTGAGTCACGGGTGCGGTGTACGCCCGAACAGTTGCGCGGCGGTCGTCCTCGAGATGTCCCTCAATAACGTCTATCTCGGCGTCGACCTCGAGATCGCGGGGGGTGGTAAACCAGAGACGGTACTGTGTGACGGGTGCGGCGAACGCGCGAAGCGTCAGGCGGTCTTCGTCTTCTTCGAATTCTCGCTCAAGCGCGTCTAACTCGGCTTCGAGTTCAAGCTGTTCCAGCTGCGCCTTGATGTCGGCGTCTACCGAGTCGGCGGGGGGTGGGATGGGTTGCGGCTGTTGGGCCCTCGGGCGACCTCTGGCCATGCGTCGCCGACTTGCTACGTCGACTCGCGACGTGGAACCTGTGCCGACTTGGACGAACAATCGGCTGTCGAGCAACCTACAGGCGCGATGACAGACTGGCAGCTGAAAATTCTAAGGGAACGAGAGAGCAGGAAGGAACGCAGGAACGGACAAGCGAATGAGCAGGCTCGCGGGGCAACGGACGGGTATGGTCCTGAGCGACTACGATGCTGCCGCGCGTCACGCACACCCCAATGCATCCGCCGCCGTGCATGTGTTCTCGTAAAGGCGGCGCACTGTCCGACGTGGCACGTGCCAGGCATGGCTAGCTGGGCGCCGCGCTGCACGGAAGGGGCGTAAGCCAGTGCCATTCCACGTCGGAATGGGCGTGCGTTACGTGGCTTGCGACCGCCATTGGCGCCCCAGTGCAGAAATTAAGGCAAGCAGACATGGATCTCCCGGAGGCCCGGGATGACTCAAGCACGGCGTGGCAACCATGCCGTGGGGGGCCTATGATCGGCGCCGACTTCCACTCGGCGCGCTTGGCAGAGAACGTGCCGTGTGGCCGGGTTTGTGTGCCTTGGGATGATCTGGTCGACACCGACTTCCCTGGCAACCCGCGATGCCACAAGACAGTGAAGATGTGGACGGTCCGATTTGCGCCGCGTGGGTTTGCACCGCTAGAGCGACGCGTGGCCACGACGCCCACGTCGTGGCAGCCTTGTAATCGGTGGGGCGGGTCTCGCACCTCCCTATTGGTCCGCGTGGAGGCATCCGCGGCTCGACGTGGCGAATTTTGTCCGCTGAGATTTCCTTCTCAGGAATCTCCCAGCGCAAACGGGTGTCGTCGGATTGTCGACAATCCCGAGGGCTCCCGAGGCCCCTGGGACGCCATTTGGGCCCGTCTGGGAGCTCGGAGGTCGTCGGGAGGTCGTCAATCCCGAGGGGGGGCCTTGTCCCTTTTGAACCGCGAAATTGGGCGGCATTTTTCGTCCGCTGAGGTATATCATCCCAACCTTCTCAGCCCTTGTGCTACCCACTGTGAGTTTCTCAATATCCCCGATCCAGCAAAATTCCGGTAATGCAGGTTTTCAGGCCTTTTCTGGCTCGAACCCGGATTCGTGAAGGCTTCTTTTCCGCTGGCTCGTATTTTACAGGGCCTTTTTCACAGGGGCCCGGATCGTCCGAGCTAGCAAAAATCCTAGCAATAGCCGGATGCTTCCACATGACTACTGTATTGACGTGACAAACCGTACTGCACCGTAAGACTGTCTTCAGTCAAGGCCCTCAAGGTTCGCTTGCCTGAGGTGAGGCGGCGAACCAGGGTCAGGAGGGCCAGGATGACACTTGTACACCTTTGTTCTCGGCCTTCGCACCAGAGGAAGCAGTGGCTACAGTTTTTGGACGTAGCGGGCTGGTGCTATAACTCGCTTGCGGGTAGTGACGAAACAAGCGTTGGGAAGTAAAAAACCGTTAACGCTGAATAACCATCCTAACCGTTTTGAAACTTACAGTACCATTCTATGAAGTTTGAAACCTTGACTGACCGCCTTGGGTCAAATTGCCACTAAAACGCATGTGATAGGACCTTCTTTGGTCCGTTGCAGTTACACTAAGCGTTTTTGTTAGTATAACATCTGCTAGTCTATCGAGAATGAGGGTGTATTTTGAGGAGAATATTGAAATTTCATTATGGCCGCCGTGCCATCCTAACCTTTGTTTCGCCAAGGCTGCGAGACTGCGTCTCACGTGCCTTGGCCCAGTTTTGCCTTGACAGTTTCGTTGCCTCTGTTCCGTGGGCATCTGCACTGCGTGTCATGTGTCTTCTGTCTTCTGTCTTCTTACTCCATCCTCATGGATTGCACGGGAATCCCGGCTTGCGTGGGAAGGCATCGGAACGGATTCCGGACGCTAAGCGGAGATAGCTCGGTTTTCTCGGACATTTGTCCGGACGATGCACTAATGGCAAATTCCGACACCTTAGCTCATGAAACGAATCATGCGACGTCGTCTAACAAGGATTTAGAAGTGGAGGAGGGTTGCGAAGGCTTACTGACGGGGCGAGAAGACACAGTACTCTACGATCCGGGGGGTTGTTACCCATCCCTGAACCTCAGCGGATTAAAGCCACAGCAGAAACGACAGCGTTTAGGGATTCCAAGCAAGGCCGCGCGAATGCCGCCGTGTTCGGCGGCTGAGGATGATCCGTCAGGTCGTGCCGCGTCCCCATGTCATGTCTCGAGGTCAGCGACACAGACAGCAGGTTTCGAAGTAGATTACGATTCGTCCGTTCGTGCCACGTCGTCGTTTCATCGTGATGCTAGCGTACCCGCACAGACAGGGGTGCGTGCCGCGTTTTCGTGCTTTGGCTTCAATGGCGATGCGCGCGCATCATGCGCATCGGCCGAGGAAAACGAGGAGGAGGAGGCGAGAGAAGAGGGGAGGGAAGTCGAGAGAGAGAGAGAGAGCGACGATGGGAATAATATCGACTCAGCGGAGTGGGCGGAGGGGGGGGCGGAGGGGGCGGAATGGGCGGAGGGGGCAGAGGGGAGTAAGTCTGACGATGGCGGGTATGAGTTCCGCGCATTGGAAGACGCGGAGATGGCTGTGCTGGCGGAGCCGATGACGGAGGAGGGAATTGCGGAAAAGGGGGTCGCGGAAGGGGCGGAAGAGGCGGAAGGGGCGGAAGGGGCGGAAGGGCAGCACCATGAGTGGCGGCAGCAGTCGTGGGTTTCGAGCGTGGAGTGGTTCGTGTCGTGGCCGCTCAGGCGACTCAGCCACCCGTGGCGCAAGGTACATCGTATGTCTTGAATTTTAAGCCACGCGCAATGTTCAGTTTCTTTTTGAGTCGACTCAAGAATCGACTCAGCCACCCATGGCGCAAGGTACGTCGTATGTCTTGATTTTTAAGCCGCGCGCAATGTTCAGTTTCTTACCCCGTGCATTCTCCCTCGTTCCTTCGCCGCGCCTTGTCTCCCCTGGTTCGTAACACACAACCTCATGGCAGCATTCCGCGGGCTCGTCTGCGCGCGGGCGCGGCTTTTGAGGCGCCTCAAAACTCGTGCGTGTGGACGTGCTTTTGAGTCGACTCAAAAGCGTTCCGCGTGCTCGTGTGCGTGGACGTGCACATGGACGCGCGCATGTGCGTGGGTGCGGGCGTGGTTTGTAACGCATGCAATGCGGGGGCTTACACGTTAGGGTTGATTGAGACTTGAGTTGAGTGCATCATCCGCTGCGCCTCAATAACACCCTCGTTTTGACCCAGTGGGTAGCGAGGCGTAACATGGTTTCAACTTGACTCGAGGGAATTACGCGCGGCGCGCCGAGTCATTCGAGTTTCACAGTTCGCACTCTCCCCGCCCTGCCTTCTCCCCGTGAGTCAGGGGAAGGGGGGGGGACGGGAGAGGGCCGGGGGAGAGTGTGAGGCGCGAGTCATTTGCGTCTCACGACTCGTACTCTCCCCACACCCTCTCCCGTCTTTCCCCTCACCCTGCCCCTCCCCCTGCCCCCCCCCTGCCCCTCTCCCCCACTTTCCTCCCAGTGTCTACTGTGGGTGTGGGTGCTGCTTCTTGCTTGTAGCACCCTCCTGTCTCCTCAGCTCAGCGTCTTTCAAGTGGTCTCACCCTTCCCCCTCTCGCCCCTTCCCCCATCCCCCTCCCCCTCTTCCCCCCCGCTTCACGCCTCCCCCTCCCCCTCTTCCCCCCCGCTTCACGCCGCCCCCTCCCCCACCACCCCCATCCTCACTGGTGTTTGGTTTGGAGTGGCATGGCAGCATGCGGAGGCAGATCAGATCAGATCAGATCAGAGGGACGACCACGCACAGCCGCGCGCTTTTGAGGCGCCTCAAAAGACCCCCATCCTCACTGGTGCTCGGAGTAGCGTGGCAGCATGCAGATGCGGTTGAGAGGGATAACACACACACAACAGCACTTTTGAGAATTCTCAAAAGTCGGAGTAGCGTGGTAGCATGCAGATGCGGTTGAGAGGGATAACACACACACAACAGCACTTTTGAGAATTCTCAAAAGTCGGAGTAGCGTGGTAGCATGCAGATGCGGTTGAGAGGGATAACACACACACAGCACGGCTTCTCTGCTTCCCCCCTCTGCTCATGCCCCTCCTCCCAACCTCCCCCTTTGTTTTCCCCCTTCAACCTCTCCCTTCTCCCTCCCCATTTTATACCCCCTCGCTTCCCCCTCCTCCCCGCCTCCTCCGCTCCCTCCTCCCCCCCACCCTCGTTTCCAGCGAGTGCTGTGGCTGTGGGTGGTTTTTGAGAATTCTCAAAAGCGCTCCCTCCTCCCCCCCTACCCTCGTTTCCAGAAAGTGCTGTGGCTGTGGGTGGTGGTAGCAGCGGCCATCCTGTCGCTGGTGTTCACAGTGGCGTGGAAGCACGCGCAGGGAACTGAGAGGGACGACCTGGAGGGGCACTGCGAAGAGTGGGGGGCGTTCATCGAGGCCAAGTTCAACATCACGGCTGCCAACACACGCTCCATTTCCGATTTCATCCGCGCCTACTACCTCGATAAGTATGCACAGAGCCACCTTTTTTTCTTTGCTTTTCCCAGTGCCTCAAGTTTCCCCCTCGCTATCTGTTCCGCATTCTCCCCTCTCCCCTCCCCCGCAAACCCTACTGCCAAAACCCTCCTTGAAACTATCCCACGGGCAAGCAGCATGAGGGAGGACTTTTCTGGACGTGGAGATATTCCAATGCTTCACTCACAGGCCACTCTCGACTATTGAGTCAACCCAAAAGATATATTCCTTCCACATTCTTCCTCCTCCCTTCCCCCCCCCCCCCCCCCCTCCTTTCCCTTCCCCCGGGGCAAGCAGCATGAGGGAGGACTTTTCTGGACGTGGAGAGATTTCAACGCTTCACGCGGGCCACGCTCGAATTTCGAGTCGACCTAAGAATATATTTGCGCTTCCACCCCCCCTCCTCCCCCCCCTCCCTCTCCCTTCCCCCGGGGCGAGCAGCATGAGGGAGGACTTTCTTGACGTGGAGAAATTCCAACGCTTCACTCAAGCCACTCTTGACAGCCGACCCATGGCGTCATGTGAGTTGCATGTGGTGTGATCTGACTGACTGACTGATCCATGACGTCATGTGTGTTGCCTGTGGTGTGATCTGACTGACTGACCCATGACGTCTTTTTGACTCATAGTAGGAGGGCAGCAGTACTAGCAATAGGATCAACAGTGTGAAACTTGTGTGAAAATCACAGATCTCAAAAACCCCTTGTCTCCAAAAAGGCCTATGCGTCATGTGGTGTGATCTGACTGACCCATGACGTCATGTGTGTTGCCTGTGGTGTGAGTTGCATTTGGCATGTTGGTGCATTTTTTCTCACGCCCCTACTCCCTCGACTGCCGCCTCTGTCCAGTCACTCTGTTTCTCCCGTATTCCCTCCCTGTTCCCTAAGTTGCAATAAACGCTCAGGCCTGTTTGCGTATAGCGGATATCCGCTTGCGTATACACGCAACACGCTATACGCAAGCGAATCCGCTATACGCTCGGCAAATTTGTTTTGGGGCAGCCCGGGCGGAAAAAAATTCAAACATACGGAAAGATGCGGAATTTCACGACGTGCGTTTTGCCGAAGGCGAATTGCACGTACGTGACCTGTCCAATCGTGGACGTGGCTTTTTGCAGAAGGCGAATTGCACGTTCGTGACTTGTCCAATCGTGGACGTGGCTTTTTGCAGAAGGCGAATTGCACGTACATGACTTGTCCAATCGTGGACGTGGCTTTTTGCAGAAGGCGAATTGCACGTACGTGACTTGTCCAATCGTGGACGTGGGTTCAACCCACGTAGTCGAGATTGGTTGTGTCAATTTGTCAAGTCGCGTTTTCACGTACACACTTTGTGCACTCTGTTTGTTACCGCATTGAATCCCCCCCCATCTACTCACTCCAACCACCTGTCCCAATGTTCCCTTCTCTCGTTGTGCTACTTAGTGGGTTGCAAGCAACTACGCAATTCATCAGTTCCCCGTCTCTTTCATGATGTCTAGCCCGCCATGCACACCGCCGTCCGTTCAGACAGTGCAGAGTTCTCGGATTGTTCGACCTGAGGGTAGGGATTACCTTCCCGACATGCCGGAACACGCAGTCTTCAAACATTTCAGCCTCATTGTGCGGGAAGAAGGCAAAGCACAGCAGTACGAGTGTAAGTACTGCTTCAATGTTTTCACCGGTGCAGCCATTCGTTGCGCGCAGCACCTGAGCTCGTGGAAGGGAATGAAGCGTCGCGAGGTGACGCTTTGCAAGGAGGCACCGCAAGACGTACGCAACGAGATGCGCACCAAATACGAGAAGATGGCTGCCGCGGTAGAAGAAAAGCGCCGAACAACATCTGCAGCAGTTGCGGCAGTCCAGGCTGGCGGCGGGAAGCGGCGCATCACCGACTACTTGGAGGGAGATGCCGCTGCGGCTAAACGGGATGCTCACGAGGGCCTTGCGCTGATGTTAGTGGCCTGCAGAATCCCGGAGGTCACCATGGACCACCCGCTGTTCATCAACGCCATGCTGCTCGTCAACCGCGCCGGCCACGGCTACGTCCCCCTCAGGAGGACTTTCATTGGCGGGGCTGGACTGGTCGCTGTCCGCAAAGGGATTGAGCAGGGGCTGGTGGGGATTAAATCGAGCTGGAAGAAGACGGGGGTAACAATTGCGTCCGACATGATGACGGACAAATGTGGGAGGGCGCAAGCGAACGTGCTTCTGATTAACGACTCCGGCGCCGTCCTCAGGGAGGCGATCGACTGCGGTATGGAGTGGAAGACGGGGGGATACATAGCGGGGATTCTGCAGCCGGTGGTGGAGGAGGTAGGACCAGAGAATGTTATCGCGTTTTGTATGGATGGGGGGTCGAACTATGCCGCGGCTGTCCAGGAGCTGATTGCCAAGTGGCCCCACATTCAGCAGGTCCCTTGTGCTACGCATGTGATGGATCTCCTGCTGGAGGACGTGGGAAAGATGGGGTGGGCAAAAGGGGTGGTGGATCAGACTGGGGAGATTATTTCTTTCGTGCGCAACCATCATTGGACGCGCGCTTACCTGAGGACCAAGGAGTTGGTTGAGGGGAAGGTGCTGCAGCCGCTGAAGGCGGCGGGAACACGTTTCGGGACACAGTACATTGTTGTGTCCCGCCTTTGTGAGTTGCGTAGCACCCTGAACGCGATGGTGCTTTCCGACAAGTGGAAGGAGTGGGCCATGGGGTCGCGGAAGGATGCTGCCGAGGCGTTTACTGGGCGGGTCCTTGATGCAGCATGGTGGCGGACGGCAGAATTCTTCTGCAAGCTGATGCAACTGCCCTACAAGGCGATGCGGCAGACTGACGCAGATGCCAATGGGATGATGGGCCGCCTCTACGATGTAATGCTGCAGCTTACGGAGGATGTCAACGACGTCCTGGACGAGGATGAGCAGCAGCTGAGTAGCACAGATAAGGAAAAGATCCGCAGCATCATCAAGGACCGCTGGGATAACAACCTCGCCTGCGCCATGCACGTTGCTGGCCGAATCCTCAACCCCGCCAACCAGGAGGAGGATATCTTTGGCAGCGACGTCGAATGCACCCGGGTTTTCAAGGCGTTAATCAACCAGCACGTGGAGTTCCTCATCGGCCACGACGGGAAGGGGAGGGATGCGGGTCCAGATTACTTGCTTGCCTTGGGTGACGGGCTGAGGGCTTTCTTGGACCTGAAAGGAAGTTTTGGGATGCCGGAGGCGCTTGCACAGAGGGAGAAGGTGAAGGCGGGTAAGTACAGCATGGTGAAGTGGTGGCAGTGGAACGGCACTGATGCACCTCACCTGATGCACTTCGCCGTGAGGGTGCTATCTCAGCCTGTATCGGCATCCCCTTGTGAGCGTGGGTGGGGAACTTGGGATGCAGTACACACAGCCCGCCGGAACCGCCTCGGATCTGAGAAGTGCCAGGACCTGGTTTTTGTTGCGCACAACTGGAATGTTGTGCGCAACTGGCACTCGCGCGCAGATGTGATGCCAAACGTTGTGCCAGGGATTGGGGACGAGCCTCCTATCCTCGAGGGGTATAACGGGTTGGATGAGACGGAGGTGGAGGAGGAGGAAGGCGAGGATGACGTCCTGGAGGACGAGTACGCTTAGAACTAGGGTGGCAGGAGAGTATTAGTGACGTGTGTGTGTATGGTGTCGTAATCTTATTATGGGAAAAAAAAACCTGTGCTGCAAAACCCCCAAAACGCCCCACCCCTCCTCCCCCCCAAACATCCCCAAGTGGCTTTTTTTGCCCTGCCCGGGAAAGTTTTTTCCCTGCCCGGAAAAGCGTATTCCAAAGTCGACCCCCAAGCGGATAGCGTGTATACGCTAGCGTATATACGATAAGCGTATATACGCTATAAGCGTATATTGCAACTTAGCCTGTTCCTCCTGTTCCCGCAACCGTATTCCCCTCCGTTGTTCCCCAGTGTCCCCTCCAGTCGTGGGCTTCACGCTGCTGGCCAGCAACACATTCATTTGGGTCGTAGTGTGGATCAATTAATCCCCACCACTGCATCTTCACCCCAGAGCCCACAGGCACACTCTCCTCTGCTGTCCCCCACTATGTTCCTTTCCTCTCCGTTCCGGCCCTGTATTTCCCCTTCGTTGCCCCCCTGTGTCCGCTGCACCTGCAGTCGTGGGCTTCACACTGCTCGTCAACAACACGTTCATTCGCGACTTAGTGGAGAAAAACTCCAACCACTGCATCTTCGCCCCCGAGCCCAACGGCTCACTCTCCTGCCGCCCGCGCGACCTGCCCCTGTACGCACCGCTGGTGATCTTCAACACGCGCAAGGAGTTCTACCCGCGCGTGAACCTCACTGCAGTCTGCTGCAACGACATCATGGCTGGTGAGTCGAACGAACGGCTGGACTGGTCTTGTGCTGCGAGGGGTTGGTGAGGTTGCTAGCAGGGCATCTTTTAGCTCTTTGCGCCGTGAACCTCACTGCAGTCTGCTGCCAGGACATCATGGCTGGTGAGTCCAACGGCTGGACTGGTAGAACCGAGTTTTGAGTCGACTCAAAAGTCGACTGGAGCCACTCTTGAGAATCCTGATGACTAGCTTCAGTCGACCTGCCTACTCCTGTATGCGCCTCTTGTCATCTTCAACGCCCGCAAAGAGTTCTCCCCGTGCGTGAGTGAACCTCAGTTCAACCTCAGTGCAGTCTGCAGCTTGGACATCATGACAGGTAATTCTCCCCGCAAAGACGAAACTGAAATTTCGAGATTTCGAGTAATTCTTGAGACGCCTTGTTGGGCTGAAGGGGTTCTTGAGGTTTTGAATAGTTCTTGGCGCATCTTGTAGTTATGCTGTATGGGGTTCTTAACGTTTCTTTTCTAGCAGGGCATTCTGTAGTCCTTAGTGCCTTGAACCTCTTTGCTCTTTCTCTCATAATCCTCGTTCGCAGCACTGTGCTCGTTTTGACCTGTACCTCCACACCATCTCCCCACTCCCCTGCTGGTCCTTCCCCCTCCTCAACAACTTATCCTCCCTTTCCGCCTCCCACCACCTCTCACCGCATCCCACCACATCCCATCGCCTCCCACCGCCCCTCTCAGACCCAGCTTTTAACGACACGCTCCACAGGGCCATTGACTCAGCGTCCTCCGCCATCTCCCCGCCATTTGTCCGCGACAACTACCCCTACCATTTCATCGGGCAGGCCTTCCCAGTCTACTTCAACCTTACCACCTTCGCCCTGCCCCCCTCGCCCTCCCCTCCCTCCGTCGCCATCCCTCCGCTCGCCACACCTGCGGACCTCCCACGGGGGTTTGTCATTGCCGGTTATAATTTCGCAAATCTCCGATCTCTTGTGGGGTTTCAGCAGCTGGCGGAGCTGAACGAGAGGGTTTATCTGGTGGATGGAACGAGGGGCGGGGTGTGGGATGGTGCGAGGAATGGGGATGGGAAGGTTGTGAAGTGGTTGCCGGCGCTTCTGTTTGATCATGAGGGGGTGGTGGGTGAGGAGGAGATAGGAGCGTGGATGATGGGGCAAGGGGATGGGGTGATGACAGGGGATGAGGGGAGAGTGCAGCGTGAGGTGCACTTGGGTGATCCAACAAGAAAGTTCTACCTTTTTTGCGAGTGAGTTGATGTGTGCACATAGACATTCGTAGACATCCCCCCATACGCATTCTTTGCACATGCCTTGAGCATGCATGCATCCATGCATCCGCAAGACATGCACACTCACATACATGCACACTCACATACATGCACACTCACATACATGCATACTAGTAGTGGCGGTGTTGTTTCTTGCTGTCTCCACCATCCTCTTTTGGACGTGTGTGCACCACCTCATTCGCACCTTTGACTTCAATTGCCATCACCTCCCTTACTCTCCCCGCGTCCCATCAACCTCCATCGCACCACAGCCATGTATCCCCGCAATTTTTGAGGCGCCTGAAAAATCGTCTCAGTTCACGCGGTTTTTTTAGGCGCCTCAAAAAGCATCCCATAAACCTCCATCCCACCACAGGCACGTATCAACTCTTCCGCACCCGCTCCACCCTCTCTCTCCCCTCCCCACCTCCCCCTTTCCGTCCCTCCCACCACAGGCACATCTCATACACCAAGCCATTTGGCCCGTTCACCTGGATAGTGGTAGCGGTGCTCTTTCTGACCGTCTCCACCATCCTTCTATGGACGAGCATCCAGCTCATGCACGCCTTTGAGTGCGACTGCCAGCACCTAGCTGCCGCCCAGCATGAGCTTCGTGCCGCCCGCTTGGAGGCTGAGAAGGCGAGCCGAGCCAAGGGGGATTTCCTCACGACAATGTCGCATGAGATCCGCACTCCCATGAACGGCGTCATAGGTAACGTGATAACAAGGTAACATGGCGATGTTGTTTATTATAATGTGATAGCATGGTTAAGTCGATAACGCAGTAACGTTACGCAGTGGATCGTGTGAAGGTCGTCGGTCGGTTTTAATTGAGAATCGACTGCATCAAAGCTCAAGTCGAGACTTCCCTGATGAGTCTTGTTGCTTTGTGAAAAGTGCTAGGCCTTAGAATTTCCGCAATCAACGTTTCCGTACCGTCGTGTTGCTAGCTTAGTAGCGTTCACCTTGGTGGTGAAGAAACAATATTGTCGAATCGGTAAAACAATTGTAGCAAGAAGAAACGAAGAAGATTCTTGTTGCAAGTGTTAGCAAAGTCCCTACACGCAAACACAATTGATCCTACAGATGGCAGGACGTCGTGCAAAGTGAATTGGCACGTAATAAGCTGGTTCTGGAAACCCCATAGGACGAGCTGATTGCTATCTCTTTTCCTCCATTCCCCCTCTCTCCCTACTCTCCCTCCCTCCTCCCATCCCTACCAGGCATGCTGAACCTGCTACTGGAAACCCCTCTAGACGGGTCGCAGAAGGACTACGCACAGACGGCGCGAAGCAGCGGGCGGGCGCTGTGTGCGCTGATCAACGACATTCTCGACCTCTCCAAGATCGAGGCCGAGAAGCTGCATCTCGAGTGCATCCCGTTGGACCTGCGTGCCGAGCTCGACGACGTGCTCGCACTCTTCGTGGAGAGCGCCCAGGAGAAGCGCTCCGTTGAGCTCGCCGCGTTTGTGGCCGATGATGTGCCAGAGACGCTCCTTGGGGATCCGCTCCGAGTGAAGCAGGTGTGTATAGGGTTTGAAGTAGGCATGATGAGCAAGTACCGAACTCGAACCGGCATGATGAGCAAGTACCGAACTCGAACCGGCATGATGAGCAAGTACCGAACTCGAACCGGCATGATGAGCAAGTACCGAACTCGAACCGGCATGATGAGCAAGTACCGAACTCGAACCGGCATGATGAGCAAGTACCGAACTCGAACCGGCATGATGATGCACCTGCTGCACGTGAAGTTGGTGCATGGCACGGGCGGGCGGATGGAGGGACGGCACGTACATGGCAGGGTAGGGTGCGTGGCAAGGGCAGGTGAGCCAATTATATGAGTTTGCCTTGCAGCCCCCTGCCCTCTGCATCTTCCTTCTTAAACAGTGTGTCTCAATACGTGCGTGCGTGCGCATCAAAACTAGACTTCCTTTGAAGGGGCGATACATCTCGTCTCACCTCAGTTTACTACCAATGCCCTGACCCCATTGTCCCCCGCTTCATACCTCTGTCACCCCCTTTCCTGTCCAATGCCCCTGCCCCTCCCCGCCACCATGTGTGTGAATTCGCTTGTGTGGATGTCTCTGTGTGTGTGTTCATGCATCAGATCCTCATCAATCTCATTGGCAACTCAGTCATGTTCACCACCAAGGGTCATGTCATGTCTTTCATCGCATACAACCCCTGCCCCCGTCTCTCCCCCGGCACCCCACCCGCCCTCCTCTTGATCCCCACCAGATCCTCATCAACCTCATAAGCAACTCATTCAAGTTCACCACCAAGGGCCATGTTTTCATTGCCGTGCGCGTCGCAACCACCACCGACAACAGCAGCGACCCCAACCCCCCGCCGCCACTCTCCCCTTCTTCCTCCACCTCCACTCAGTCACCCTCACACTCTCCCTCACCATCAGCAACACCCTCAAGTTCACCAGCAGTATCACCATCAGCAGCATCATGTTTATCATTCCTCTCCAAAGCACCGGCCAGCAGTCGCCAGTCTCTTGACAAAGGCTGCACCAGTGCCAGCGGACGGAGAGAAGTGGAGGATCCAGCTGAGGCCGTTGGGGCTGCTGCTGATGCAGATGCGAGGAGTGGTGGTAGTAATGCCGTTACAGAGGCATGTACTGACCGTCCTGAGGCATGTTCTGAACATGCATGTATGACACTGAGTGGCCGGCCTGCCATGAAGTCGTGGTGTTCGTGGGAGGGCATGCGGGAGCACATGGACCTTGCTGCTGTGGGCATGGGCAAGGCGAACCATACCGGACATGGCATTGGGCATGGGCATGGGGGGCATGGCGATGGGCATGGGGGGCATGGCGATGGGCATGGGGGGCATGGCGATGGGCATGGGGGGTATGGCGAAGGATATGGCGACGAGCGTGGCAGTGGTGCCAGCCTGGGACCCGACCAGCCTGTGCGACTGATGGTGGCCGTTGAAGACACTGGTACGCTGTCATGTCATGTCATGTCATTGCACGCGCGTGCTTGTGCGCCTGCGCGCGCGCGTGCACGCCCGTGCGTTTGCGTGTGCTTGCATTGCGTGTTTTTTGTGTGTGTGTGTGTGTGTGTGTGTGTGTGTGTGTGTGTGTGTGTGTGTGTGTGTGTGTGTGTGTGTGTGCGTTTGTTTGTTTGTTTGTTTGTCTGTCTGTCTGTTTGTTTGTTTGTTTGTTTGTTTGTCTGTCTGTTTGTCTGTTTCTTTGTTTGTTTGTTTGTTTGTTTGTTTGTTTGTTTGTTTGTTTGTTTGTTTGTTTGTTTGTTTGTTTGTTTGTTTGTTTGTTTGTTTGTTTGTTTGTTTGTTTGTTTCATATCATGCTCAAAATATGATCTCAAACGAGTGGACGTGCTGCAGCCTGCCAGTGTCGCACTATCTCCTCACACGCCGCACTCAGTCCAGGTGTAGTACCTGGCCTTGTGGATTTTACTTTTGAGAATTCTCAAAAGTAAAATCCACTAGGGGGCTTATTCATAGAGAGCCACACCTTGTCTTGTGGCCACACTAGGTCTTCGCCATGTTTTCCACCTCAATGCCTGGCCTTGTTAATAGCGGCATCAATTTCTGAGACGCTTCATACTTGCAGCAAGAGTCAGGCCCAGGAAACACGTCTTATGTCCTTTGCGTTCGCTGCCCGGCCCTGTGAATCGCTACCAGGTACCGGCATCCCCCGCCGTGCTTGGAGGCACATCTTCCGGCCGTACGCGCAGGCAGAGCGCAGCACGGCACGGCTGCATGGAGGCACGGGCATCGGGCTCTCCATCTGCAAGGTGCGCTGTGTTGGGGTGCCTGCTGTGCAAGGTGCACTGCATCTGGACACCTGCCTTGGGCTCTCCATCTGCAAGGTGGGGTGTGTTGGGAGTGCGTCATTGAATGTGTCAAATTGGGCTTTAAGGTGCGTTTCATCAGCCTCTCCATCTGCAAGGTGGGTTGCGTAGGGACAGCTGTGTTTCATTGTACATTGCATCAAGACAAGACACCTGCCTTGCAAGGTACTCTGCACTGAGGCACATGCGTTGCCCCTCACTTGTGTTACCCCTCACACTGATCCCCTCCCACTCGCCCATGTGAGCAGCGCCTGGTGTCGATGATGGGCGGATCCATCTCGTTCGTGTCAAAGCCAGGCGTCGGCACCACCTTCCTCTTCGATATCCTCCTCCACACGCCCCCTCTCCCCCACCCTCCTGCCTCCCCACCTCATCCCTCTCAACCCCACACCCCTCCTCCTCAACCCCACTCTCCTCAACCCCAAGCTCGTCCTCTGCTTGCCCCTGTCCCGCCTGTGTCCTCTGTCTCACTCCCTCCTCCCCTGTCTGGTGCCTTCCCAGCCTCCCTGAGATTCCCTGCTGTCCCTTCCAACACTCCCTGGGGATGGGAGGGCGTGTGTGTGGTGAGTGTGGACGACCGGCCGGTGCGGCATGCCGTCACTCTCTCTCTGCTGCGCCGCCTTGGCATCTGCACCCTCCCCTGCCCCTCCTTCCACCTCCTCCCCCGCCTCCTCGCCCAACACCGCTCCTTGCACCATGGCTCGTGCCATGCCATGGGCCATGGTGACAGAGGTCCACAACATATCATGCAGCATGCCTCGTGCCATGGCATGCATGATGACTCATCGGATGGGAAGGGCCATGCCTCGTGCCATGCCTTGCACCATGGGTCATCGAGTCATGCCACGCATGCTCCCAAGGAGCCGCGGCGGAGCAGCAGGGAGAGCAGCAGGCGGAGCAGCAGGGGGAGCAGCAGGGGGAGCAGCAGGCGGAGCAGCAGGGGGAAAAGCTGGGGGAAGAGGAGCAGTGGGAAAAGCTGGGGGAGCAGAGGGAGAAGGAGCAACGCAAGGTGGACCTATCCTCTGAGCCATCTCTTGCTGCTAAATACCTCGCTCGCCTCCTCTCGCCTGCTCCCACACCCATCCACCCCCATCGTGCTCCTCGCACCGTCTCTCTCACGCCCTCAACAGCACCACCCCACCCACCGCTGTCTCCTCGTACCCCTCCCCCTCCGCGCCGCGTGAAGACCCACACAGCCCTGTCGCCATGCCTCACTGCCACCTCTCAGCGCTCCATCGGATCCCTCATTGGGCATTTTGACGCTCAACTTCCTCCTCTAACCGTCTCTCCCCCTACAATTCCTGAGGCACTTCAACGACCCCACCCAAAGCCTCCTCATACTCCTCCACCTCCCCCCCGTCGCGTCAAGTCACACACTGCCCTGTCATGCCTTCCACTCCCCACCTCTCAACGCTCCATTGAATTCCTTCTGAACGCATCCTCCACAACTTTTGAGGCACATGAGCAATCCCACGAACCGTCTCCTCTGACCCCTCGCCCTCCTCCTTGTCGCGTCAAGTCTCACACTGCCCTGTCACGCCGCGCACTACCCACCTTCCAACGATCCATCGGAGCCCTTGTAACCGCGCCCCCCACGACTTTTGATGCACACAAAGAAGCCCACGAATCAACTCCTCTCACCCCTCGCCCTCCCCCTCGTCGCGTCAAGTCACACACTGCCGTGTCACGCCGCACACTACCCAACTTTCAACGATCCATCGGAGCCCTCATAACCGCTTCCCCCACATCACGCCCCACACTTCGTGATCTGTCTCTGGTCCCCTTGCTTCCAGAAGACTCGTGCGCTCAAGCCCACTCAGAACCATCCAACGACCACTCGTCTCATTCTATTGAGGAGTTACCTCCTCTCGAGCCTTCTGCTCCTCCTCTCCAGCCTTCTGCTCCTTCTCTCGACCCAGTTGCCTCTGCTCTCGACCCGTTTGCTCCGCCTCTCGAGCCGTTTGGCTCGCCAGCTGTGCTGGTGGCTCCTCCACCTCTCGCCCCCCTCTCCCGCCAGTACTCCTGCCCCCCTCTCTCCATTGCTCCTCCTCCTCCCTGCCCTCCTCTCTCCATTGCTCGTCCGCGCTGCCTTCCTCTTTCCATCGATGTTCACTCCTCTAGTGAGAGAATTGCAAGTGGAAGAGGGGAGGAGCAGCAGTGGCATCAGATGCGCCAGCGGCGGTGGCAACAGCAGCAGGGGCAAGCGAATGAGATGGAGGAGAGGGAAGAGGGGGAAGAGGGGGAAGAGGGGGAAGATGGGGAAGAAGGAGAGGAGGTGGAGGAAGAGGAGGAAGGAGGGGAGGAGGATGGAGTGCGGCAGGTGCACGCTTCAAAGAATTCTCAAAACTTACAGCATCAGGTGCACTATAGGAGTTTGCGAGACGCGCAAAGGCGGGGATGGGTGGGGGCAGTGGTGGTGGAGGGGGAGATGATGCAGCGGCTGGGCGTCACAGCAGATCAAATCTACGCTCTCGTGTCCGGCCAGGCAGGGGGTGGGATGGCACGGGAAGGCGAGCCGATGATCAACTGCAGCAAGTGCATCAGTTGCAGCAGCTGCTGCAGCTGGCCTGTTCCTTTCCTCGTGCTTCTTCACGGCTCTTCTCCTCTCTCCCCCGACGGTTTCAGCCCTCACAAGAGGAAGGCTTGTGACGGGGAGAGGCAGGGCAGCCGCAAAAGGCAAGCAGGAGGGGTAGATGAAATGGATGAGGGGGGTGATTGTGAGTGTAAGCCGGGTGACTGTAACGATGGGACGAGGGGCTACCAAGGCAGCAATAGCAGCAGGAGAAGCAGGTCTCCCGCTTTGTCCCTCTCTCCCTCTCCGACCGTCCCTGCCACCGCAGCTCTCTCCCTAAACCTCTCTCCCCCGCCTGCTCTCTCCCTCACGCCCTCCCCGTCCATCCCCTCGCTATTGTCACTTGGCTTCGATGCTGTCATTAGGAAGCCCCTGCGCAAGCCAGCGCTGCTGGCGGCGCTTCTGCCGCTGTTTAGTGCGGACTCGGAGCAAGGTCAGTGTGAGCAGGCAGGAGGAGGAGCAGGGGGAGCAGGGGGAGCAGGAGAAGCAGGAGGAGTAGGAGGAGTAGGAGGAGTAGGAGGAGCAGGAGGAGCAGGAGGAGCACGGGGAACAGGAGGAGGAGGAGGCCAAAATGAGGATGTGGGACAGGGAGGGCTCAGAAGGAGAGAGGCGAAAGGGCAGAGGGGTGGTGGTGGGGCATTGAGCCCGTCGGCCCTCCACAAGGCTGGCAGCAGCGCTGCAGCAGCCCTCTGGCGAGCTGTGACGTCCCCCGGAACGCTCAAGTCCCCCCGGGCGCTCAAGTCCCCAGGAACACTCAAGTCCCGACGAGCGCTCAAGTTTCCCCATTCACTTGAATCTCCTCAGTCACTCAAAACCCTTCCTTTGTGTCCCTCGCACTCACCCACCATCCCCACCACTCCCAACGCTCCCACCTCTCCCACCATTCCCACCTCTCCCACCATTCCCACCTCTCCCACCATTCCCACCTCTCCCACCATTCCCACCTCTCCCACCATTCCCACCTCTCCCATCACTCCCACCACTCCCCACACTTTCACCACTCCTAACGTTCCCACCATTCCCAAAGCTCTCAACACAATGGGCATTGTCACTGGTAACTTTGCCCAATCCAAACATGCAAGCCATGTTGCAGCACCACACACCCCACGATCCTCACCCAATGCAAGCAGCGATCCCTCTGGCTCTCTAGCTTTGGATCCCCCGCCCCACCTCCTCGCCCCTGCTGCTGCTGCTGCTGCTGCTGCTGCTGCTGCTGCTGCTGCTGCTGCTGCTGCTGCTGCAATTGCTCCTCTTTTTTCCACTTCCGCTTCTGCTTCTGCTTCTGCGTCTCCTTCTTCCGCTGCTGCTGCTGCCGCCGGTGCGGCTGCCGCTTCTGCTCCAGCTCCTGCTGCTCCTCCTGCTCCTGCTGCTCCTCCTGCTCCTGCTGCTCCAACTGCTACCGACGATCATATACTCTCTCAAGACGCAGCCACATTGGTCCTGGGTGCCACTGACTGTGCGTTGGGGGCGCAGGCATCCCCAGGCATGTGCGGGCAGGGCAATGGAGTGGCAGTGAGGGAGGAGGAGGAGGTGGAGGAGGCGAGGTTGGATGAAAGTGTGGATGGTGTGGATGGTGTGGATTGCATTGAGGGTTTGGATGGTAGCACTGCCTCAATGGATCAGGCATTGGCTGCCAGTGCTTCTGTTGCTGCTTCGGTCAAAATGGCGTCTACAATCGCTGCTGCTGCTGCTGTTGCAGCCAATTTAAAACCTGCTGCCGGTGCTACAGGTGCTGCTTCGATGGATTTGACATCTGCTGCCTCTGCTGTTGCGAGCGCAAGTGGCACTTCAGGAAGGAAAGCTCTGGTGAGGGTTTGCAGTGCTGATGAGAAGATATTTTATTCGCCCCAGGGGTTGCAGTTGCTGCGCTATGTGCCTCAGGGGTTGCGAGCTCTGGTTCGGGGTGGCAGTGCGGTGGACGCAGCTGGGGCAGCAGAACGTCGGGCAGAGATGCATGGGCCAAAGGGCGAAAGAAGGGCAGCAGAGTACGGGTCAGCAGGTGAAAGGAGAGCAGCTGGGAGGTTGATTGGGAGTCATAGTGATCGACAGAGAAGCAGCGATGGCTGTTGCGTTGCTTCTGGTGCTGCTGGTGCTGCTCCCAGTGCTGGTGCTCCTGGTGCTGTTCCTGGTTCTGCTGCTGGTGGTGGTGCTGCTGCTGGTCGAGTGCGTGGTTTTGGAAGTGTGCTTAATTTCTCAGAGATCCCTCCCCTGTATGCTCGTCCTCCGTCATCTTCTTCCTCCGTTGCTACGCTCTCTCCTGCCATCACCCGCACACCATCACCATCACTATCACCAACACCAGCACCTGCACCCCGACCACCAACACCGTCATTCCCAGCATCATCCTCAGCAGCAGCACCAGCAGCAGCAGCAGCAGCAGCACCAGCAGCAGCACCAGCACCAGCAGCAGCAGCAGCAGCGACTCAAGAGCCGGCGACTGTTGGGGAGAGGCTGGGGGTGCTGGCGGGGAGGCGGGTGATGGTGGTGGATGACAACGTGGTGAACCGCAAGGTGGCCAGCAAGCTGCTGGAGAGGCACGGCGCGCGAGTCACCGCCGTCGATGGTGGCATCAAGGCGCTTCAAGCCCTCGCCTCGCCCCACCCCTACGACCTCGTTTTCATGGACCTGCAGATGCCGGGCATGGATGGGCTGGAGGCGACTCGGAGGATCCGAGCGCGGGAGAGGGCTCAGGGCGGGGGGCATGTGGCCATCATTGCGCTCACAGCGGATGTGATTGCCGGCACGCGCCAGCAGTGCTTTGCCGTCGGCATGGATGACTACCTCTCCAAACCCCTCGAAGAGGCGCAACTCGCCAACGCCGTCTGGCGGTGCCTCGTGAATGGATAATTTAGATATGCAGGTCTGGGCCTCGAGGAATTCAAAGACTTCATGTTAGCTACACATGAGGCACTAGCCCATGAATCTATGTGAAGGCGTTTCCAGTGTTAGAAGGATTTTTATTGTTTTGTATTTTGGCTTTGTCGAAATACTATTCCTAGGAGTAAACTTCTAGGTTACTGGTATACATTGCATAGTGTGTTGTACTTTTTCCGTTCCAACGAGGATGAGAGAAACCGTTCCTTGATCCGATTGTCTGATCTTGTACGGTTCACGCAGAGGGTGCGCGCGTGCGAGGTTGTGTGCATCTCAGTGGTGCGCTGCCACGGTATGAAATGGTTCAGTTCGGTTTCTGTAAGCTTGCTTCCTGCAGGTTGCAACGCTATGTTGTGTTGTGTGCACTCTCAACTGGTTTTGTGGGTGGGGTGAGCTGCTCAGTACAGTACCGCAGGGGGACTGTGGGTTTACCGTGGATTTAGGGTAGGCTGCCGAATTTAATGCGCCATATGGGGCTGGCCCTCGCAAAAGCCGAAGCCACTGAAAAGTGTGTACCGTTCTACAAAATGTTCCTGTTCGGTAGCCCCCCCAGTTACACTGCGGTTGGTGCAGGTGATCTTCCGTGACCCAATTTCGATACCCCTTCCAGCTACCAAATCGTTGTTAGAACACCAAACCTGCCCAGTGCGAGCTGTCTACCGAACGCGTCATAAACCCAACCTGAGTGCAGGGGAAGACACTACCACGAAATTGGCGTGCCCAGGCAAATTTGACCGTCAGTGCAAGTCCATCCCATTTCAGCTTTCCAGTTCCACTCAGGCAGGCCCACTCTGAGTGGAATGTTGGAGGGTATACGCTACATTAGTGTCATTTCGGGCCGAATAAATATTTTTAGTCCGTTCAATAAGAAAACGTCGAGAGATCGTGATCACAGTCCGTTTTTATTTCATCCATAATGAGGGGAACCATTTGGCGGGCTGATTTCTTGTTTGTAGGTGGGGCAGCAGGCCAAATTCGGTAAGCAATTTCTCAACAAACACGAGGTAGCTTCTTGCAACTATGGATGAAACTTCATTCTAGTGCGAGGCTACGAAACGGACCAGAGGCTTCCCCAGTTCGAATGGGCCCAGTGTGACTGGGAGGCTACCGAACAGGGCCGATGCTTCCCAGGGTTTAGTTTGTTTTGTTCCTTCTTGTTGCTCAAAGATTAGTCCCACTTATTGAGGAGCAGTTTCCAGAAAACGAACATGTATGATGTCAAGTTCCTTCAAGCTTCCTTCCCCATGGCGGCCATAGGAGTGTGTCATAATTCAAGGACCAAATTCGTCAAGCCATTGTGGTGCAAGTGCAAGCAAAAACTTATTTCTGCAGAGCAGACGATGCAAACAAGCTCCTCAGTCTGATTTTTCCCGTCCAATTTCGTTCGGCCTTGTTTCTGTTGTTGAAGGCTCATCACTAGCGTTGAGCTGTTGATGTCACCTGCTACAGTATTACGGCGACGACATGGATTGCACGGAAATGCCGGCTTCTTTGTGCCGTCGGGACGGGTTTCGAACCCTAAGCCGAACCAGTTCCGTCTTTACCGACACTATTTTGGAGGAAACGGCCAATGCCGCCACCTTAGCTTACGAAGTAAACCGAACTGCGTCGTGTAACGAGGATATCCAAGAGGAGGAGGATTGCGAGGAGTTACTACTTACAGGGCAAGATGAGGCTTACGAAGGGGTCGGGTGCTGTCCTTCGCTGACCTACAGCAGCTTAAAGCCACAGCAGAAACGCCGGCTACTGCTACCTACAGAAATTCCAAGAAATTCCGCCTTCGATTGCTCTAATAGTGCCTCGACCCCGTGTAATGTATCAAGCTCGCCGACACAGGCAGCCGTTTCGCACGAGGGTTACTTTTCGTCCGCTCTCGCCGCGTCCCCGTGTCGTGACTCTAACGCCGCACCGAGATCCCCTGGAGCTGCATTGTCGTGCTTCAGCGCCACTGGGAATGATGACGCATGCGGTTCGGCCGAAGAGAGCGACAGTTGGGAGAACGCGGAGACGGCGAGAGAAGAAAGAGCGGATTATGCAAGGGAGAGTGAGCGCCGAGCGTACAGGAGTGAATCGATTTCGAAAGAGGGGACTGAGGAATATCACGCATCTGATCATGATGGGGGACATGGGCCTGATGATGAGGTGCATGAGACTGATGATGCGGGGTATGCGTCTGATCATGGCCGGGGGTATGAGGTGGGTCCTGGGGAGGATGTGGCGGAGAGAGCTAAGCTCGAGGAGGCGGAGAAGGCTATGCAGGAGCAATGCATGGCGGAAGAGGGGATCGCGGAGGAGGCGGAGAACGGGCGACAGCGGCAGCAACATGAGTGGCGGCAGCAGTCGTGGGTGTCGAGTGTGGAGTGGTTCGTGTCGTGGCCGCTCAGGCGACTCAGCCACCCGTGGCGCAAGGTACGCCGTTCATAGGCGCACGCAAGTGCTGTGTGCGTGCGTGTGCGTGTGATAAAATCTTCTTGAAAATGGTTCTTTCCAGCGTCTGCTGTGGGTGTGGGTGCTGGTGGTGGCAGCGGCTATCCGGTTTCTTCACCATCCCTCCTGTGGGTCACTTTCTCCCCGGTACGGCACCCTCTCTCCTCTCCGTCCCCCGTTTCAGCGAGTGCTGTGGGTGTGGGTGGTGCTAGCAGCGGCTATCCTGCTGATGGTGTTCGCGGCGGCGAGGCGGCACGCCAAGACAAACGAGAGGGACGACTTGGAGTCGCACTGCGGCGAGTGGGGGTCGTTCATAGAGGCCAAGTTTAACACCACAGCTGCCAACACACGCTCTATTTCCGACTTCATCCGCGCCTACTACCTTGATACGTAAGCGCCAGGGCAGGGCCACCTGTTTCCAGTGCTGCGAGTGCAATGCCTCTCCCAGTGCTGCGAGTGCAATGCCTGAGCCAAGGGCATCCACTGCACTCAAACTGAGAAACGGGTAGAAAGCTGCAAGCTCGGTACGCGGGCGTGCTTTGTTTCTCCAGGTTTGGTTGTCTGACGAGTGAGAATGTAAGGATCAAGGACCTTTCGATTTTCCTGGTGGGCTGGATGGACCACACTTGGTTGTGTTCGCCCTTTCAACCCACTCTAACATCACTCACGCGTTTCGCTCCCCTTTTCTTGCATGGTGAATTCTAAGCAACTTACCCAACCTCCTTCCACTCCCCCCTTCCAGTTACTCCGCTCCCTGCTATTCCATCCCTCTCACCTTCTTCCCTCTCCCCTTCCCCTCCGCCAGCTTCCCTATTCCTGGTATTGAACCCACTCCCACCACCTCTACCACTCCCACTCCCACCCACTTCCACCACCCACAATCAGCATGAAGGAGGACTTTCGTGACTTGGCGAAATTCCAGCGGTTCACTCAAGCTACTCTCGACAGTCGACCCATGGCCTCACGTGAGTTTCATCGCAAGTTGTCCGATCCGACCATGGCATCATGTGAATCGCATAAGTTCCGTGTTAATTGCATGTGAGCGAGCGCACCTTTGACTGACAGCATGTAAGTTTCACGTGGCTTGCGTGTCTGACCTGACACACATGGTGACATGGCATCATGTGGTGTGTGTGGGACGCTTTGGGTCGAATCCATCCTAGCTGACCAAAGGCATCTGTGAAACCTCTGAGCACGTAACTGCTGCCAAACGCACAGGAATATATTTTGATCTCTCTCGAATCTTGTCCCTGTGTTTTACCTGTTACCCCCTTTCTTCCTCCCACACACCCACCCACCCACCCACTCAACCACCCTGTTGCCTGCAGTCGTGGCATTCACTCTTCTCATCAACAACTCGTTCATCCGAGACAGAATCGAAAAGACCTCTGGGGGCTGCTTCTATGCGTTCGAGCCCAACGGCTCTGTGTCCTGCCAGCCCCCTGGCCTGCCCCTCTACGCGCCACTGCTTGTCTTCAACTCACGCAAGGACTTCACCCGTCGCCTGAAGCCCGCTGATGGCTGCTGCTACGACATGCTGTCAGGTGATTCAACGTGATTCTACTTCTTTTAATCTCTCTGTGAAAAGAAGTTCCAGAAGGTCTCTGAGTTTGTTTCTTCTGAGAATTCTCAGGAATTACTTTGGGGCCGTTGGCACCATGTCGTGCCGCCCCCATGGCTTGCACTGTACATGCCATGCCACTGCTGGTCTATAACAGACTCAAGGACTTCAACCTGCACCTGAAACCCGCTGATGGCTGCTGCTACGACATGCTGTCAGGTGATTCAACGCGACGGCAGGTGATTTAACGTGATGGCACGTGCACAATATCATTCTGGAAGCAAAAATACGAGCAACGGAAAGTCTGGGGCCAACCAAGACTTGCCACTTGCGCGTGACCTGCCCCTGCATGCGCCGCTGCTTATCGGCAACACGAGCAAGGAGTTATACCCTCGGGTGTACAGTGCTGCTGTTCACTCCTCCGGGTCAGGTCGGCTTGAGGGCTTTCCCAATGCAACCTGACTCAAAAGGGTCGGTCGACCCACTGGCAAATCTTGGCATTTGAGTCGGATCAGGTCGGGTCGGGTCGGGTCAGGTGGGTGGGGTGGAGGCCATCAGAGGAGAGACTCGACTGGGCCAAAACCTCATGTCATGTCTACCCTCGCTTGAAGGGAGTCCCTTCCCCCTCATCTCATTCACCCCATCCTTCTCCCCGCTGCCTCCCACCGCCCCACCCAGGCCAGCACTGGGCTTCATAATCCATCGGGCATGATTCATCAAATTCACCCGCCTCGTCCGTTTTTTGAGTCGACTCCAAAATCGACTAACTACAGCAGTGGGCTTCATGATCCATCGGGCATGATTCATCAAATTCACCCGCCTCGTCCGTTTTTTGAGTCGACTCAAAAATCGACTAACTACAGCAGTGGGCTTCATGATCCATCGGGCATGATTCATCAAATTCACCCGCCTCGTCCGTTTTTTGAGTCGACTCAAAAATCGACTAACTACAGCAGTGGGCTTCATGATCCATCGGGCATGATTCATCAAATTCACCCGCCTCGTCCGTTTTTTGAGTCGACTCAAAAATCGACTAACTACAGCAGTGGGCTTCATGATCCATCGGGCATGATTCATCAAATTCACCCGCCTCGTCCGTTTTTTGAGTCGACTCAAAAATCGACTAACTACAGCAGTGGACTTCATGATCCATCGGGCATGATTCATCAAATTCACCCGCCTCGTCCGTTTTTTGAGTCGACTCAAAAATCGACTAACTACAGCAGTGGGCTTCATGATCCATCGGGCATGATTCATCAAATTCACCCGCCTCGTCCGTTTGTTGAGTCGACTCAAAAATCGACTAACTACAGCAGTGGGCTTCATGATCCATCGGGCATGATTCATCAAATTCACCTGCCTCGTCCGTTTGTTGAGTCGACTCAAAAATCGACTAACTACAGCAGTGGGCTTCATGATCCATCGGGCATGATTCATCAAATTCACCCGCCTCGTCCGTTTGTTGAGTCGACTCAAAAATCGACTAACTACAGCAGTGGGCTTCATGATCCATCGGGCATGATTCATCAAATTCACCCGCCTCGTCCGTTTTTTGAGTCGACTCAAAAATCGACTAACTACAGCAGTGGGCTTCATGATCCATCGGGCATGATTCATCAAATTCACCCGCCTCGTCCGTTTTTTTAGTCGACTCAAAAATCGACTTATCAACTACAGCAGTGGGCTTCATGATCCATCGGGCATGATTCATCAAATTCACCCGCCTCGTCCGTTTTTTGAGTCGACTCAAAAATCGACTAACTACAGCAGTGGGCTTCATGATCCATCGGGCATGATTCATCAAATTCACCTGCCTCGTCCGTTTTTTGAGTCGACTCAAAAATCGACTAACTACAGCAGGGGCTTCATGATCCATCGGGCATGATTCATCAAATTCGCCCGCCTCGTCCGTTTGTTGAGTCGACTCAAAAATCGACTAACTACAGCAGTGGGCTTCATGATCCATCGGGCATGATTCATCAAATTCGCCCGCCTCGTCCGTTTTTTGAGTCGACTCAAAAATCGACTAACTACAGCAGTGGGCTTCATGATCCATCGGGCATGATTCATCAAATTCGCCCGCCTCGTCCGTTTTTTGAGTCGACTCAAAAATCGACTAACTACAGCAGTGGGCTTCATGATCCATCGGGCATGATTCATCAAATTCACCCGCCTCGTCCGTTTTTTGAGTCGACTCAAAAATCGACTAACTACAGCAGTGGGCTTCATGATCCATCGGGCATGATTCATCAAATTCACCCGCCTCGTCCGTTTTTTGAGTCGACTCAAAAATCGACTAACTACAACAGTGGGCTTCATGATCCATCGGGCATGATTCACCAAATTCACCCGCCTCGTCCGTTTTTTGAGTCGACTCAAAAATCGACTAACTACAGCAGTGGGCTTCATGATCCATCGGGCATGATTCATCAAATTCACCCGCCTCGTCCGTTTTTTGAGTCGACTCAAAAATCGACTAACTACAACAGTGGGCTTCATGATCCATCGGGCATGATTCATCAAATTCACCCGCCTCGTCCGCCATCACCCCCAAGCGATCGCAAGAGAATTCAAATTCATTTCTCTCCACCCTGCCCTCCTTTTCCACCACCTCCCTCCGCCCCTCACAGACCCAGCAGCGAGTGACATGATCCACCGTTCTATCGACTCAGCCTCCTCCGTAATGTCTCCGCCCTTCATGCGTGACAACTACCCCTACCACTTCATCAGTCAAGTCTTCCCAGTCTACTTCAACCTCACCACCTTCGCCCTGCCTCCCTCGCCCTCCCCTCCGTCCATCGCCATCCCTCCGCTTGCCACCCCCGGCCCCGGGGTGCTTCCACGGGGGTTTGTCATTGCGGGGTATAACTTTGCAAACCTGCGGTCGCTGGCGGGGTTTCAGCAGCTGGTGGAGCTGAAGACGAGGGTTTATCTTGTGGATGGGACGAGGGGCGGGGCGTGGGACGGTGCGCGGAATGAAAGTGCACGGAATGAGGACGGAAAGAGTAGCAGATGGATGCCTGCGCTATTATTTGACCATGAGGGGGTGGTGGGTGAGGAGGAGATTGGTGCGTGGATGGTGGATGGGGAGGAGCAGCAGCGGGAGAGAGTGAGACGGGCGGTGAATCTGGGAGATCCAACAAAAAGGTTCTATGTTTTTTGCGAGTAAGTTGATGTGTGCATGCATGCGTACGTGCATGGATGTATACATGCGTATGAATTGCACGCATGCGATTGTCCATGGATCTGTGAAACATGCATGCTCGCATGCATGCACACACACACACATACGCACGTACGCACGCACACGCACACACACACACACACACACACACACACGCACACGCACACGCACACGCACACGCACGCACGCACGCACGCACACACACACACACACACGCACGGACAGACACGCACAGACAGACACGCACACACGCACACACACACACACGCACACACGCACACACGCACACACGCACACACGCACACACGCACACACGCACACACGCACACACACACACACACGCACACACGCACACACGCACACACGCACACACGGACACGCGGACACGCGGATACACGGACACACGGACACGTGCACACGTGCACATGCATGCTGCATGCATGCTGCATGCATACATACATACATACATACATACATACATACATACATACATACATACATACATACATACATACATACATACATACATACATACATACATACATACATACATACATACATACATACATACATACATACATACATACATACATACATACATACGTACGTACATTACATACATACAATCCGCTTGCCTCTGCAATCCAGCCCTCCGCATCCCCCCTTACCACTGTTCTCCTTCCCCATGCCCCCCTTTCACCCCCTCTCTTCTCGGCCCTGCATCCCACCACAGGCACACCTCCTACACCCGCCCGTTCGGCCCCTTCATATGGATAATAGTTGCGGCTCTCTTCCTGACCGTCTCCACCTTCTTTCTCTGGACGTGCATTCAGCTCATGCACGCCTTTGAGTGCGACTGCCGGCAACTAACCGTGGCGCAGCACGAGCTCCGCGCCGCTCGAGTGGAAGCTGAGGCGGCGGGCCGCGCCAAGGGAGACTTTCTCACCACCGTGAGCCACGAGATCCGCACACCCATGAATGGTGTGATTGGTAAGTACGTTTCGAGGCGCCTCTATGGTAAGTGAATTAACCTTTTTCGTGTGTGTTTTTGGAGATGCGATGTGTCTTTTTTTGGTGTTGTGCTTTAGGCCGGTAGAGAAATCTCAAAGATTGATGCAACCCGTGCCAATCCCCATCACCTCCTCCTTCAGTGTCACGTCCCTAATATTAGTAGAGAAAGAGAAAACAACAAATTTGGGAGGTATGTGGGGCATAGTAGTCTGAGGGTTGTTATACTCACAATAGGCTTTCAATTTGACTTCAACGAACAGAGGGATTTCCGCATAACGGCAACAAAACTTGATAGCGGACCGATGCCGCCTCCAAGTTCAATCATGCGATATCATAACAAAATGAGGACGTTATGACAGTTTGAACGGGCGGCGGTTTAACAGCAACTATAGTATTCTTAGGATACAAAATAAGAAGTTCGAGTTGAGGATGATTCTAAGCCTTCACAAATGAATGCTTCCCAGGTTTACAAACCTCAAGAGTCAAGTTTCAGGGAAGTGCAACAGTGTTACGCAGTCCCTAACCTCGAAGGGTCTCCAAAATATATGTTGAACAACCCACATCACTTTTTGTTTGTCATTGTTTGTTCCTTCTCAGGCATGTTAAACCTGCTACAAGAAACCCCACTGGACGGCACGCAGCAGGACTACGCGGAAACGGCGTGCAGCAGCGGGCGGGCGCTGTGTGCGCTGATCAACGACATTCTCGACCTCTCCAAGATCGAGGCCGAGAAGCTCCGCTTGGAACGGATTCCCTTGAATCTGAGGGCCGAGCTCGACGACGTGCTCGCTCTCTTCGTGGAGAGCACCCAGGAGAAGCGCTGCGTGGAGCTCGCCGCGTTTGTGGCCGACGATGTGCCCGAGATGCTGCTTGGGGATCCACTCCGAGTGAAGCAGGTGCGTGTGGTGTTGGAAGTACACATGAGCCACACACACACCTGGTGTGTGTGGTGCCGAACTCGAACCGTTTCGGGTCGAACCGGGGCAGGCAGACATCTTAAACTCTTTTTTTTGTTAGCACAGATACCGCTGCACTGATGTTTGCACTCAATCACTTTATCCGTTGCATTCATGGCGTGTCCTTTGCTCACCCTATGTGTGCGTGCATGCGTGTGTGCTTGTTTGTTTGTTGTTTTTTTTCTGTATGCAACAGATACTTATCAATCTCATTGGGAACGCCTTGAAGTTCACCACCAAGGGCCATGTCTTCATTGCTGTGCGCCTCGCAACCCCCACCGACAGCTGCAGTGGCACCGACGCCAACCACAACCACGATCATGCCGGTGCTGCCCCATCGCTGCACTCAGCTGCATCCTCCACATCTTCCTCGTCACCATCATCATCACCATCACCATCACCATCAGCCCTTACCAAGGAATCGCTTACCAACCCCCACTCCCTTGGAAATTGCTTCGCGAGTGTGAACAGCCATAGAGAGGGGAAAGATGCAGTTGGGGGAGATGGAACCACTGCTGGTATAAATGAGAGGAGCGGCGCTTCTGGCAGCGACCATGGCACCAGTGCCGATGTGGACACTGGTGGCCGTGAGCCGGTTCCATGTTCTTCCACCGACCCTGGGTGCCTAACACTGAGTGGCCGGCCAGCCATGGAGACGTGGTGCTCGTGGGACGGCATGCGAGAGCACATGGACCCTGCTGCAGTGGGCATAGGCACGGCAAATGATACCTGCCATGGCCCTCACATCGTGCTCCCAGACCAGCCTGTGCGCCTGCTGGTAGCTGTGGAAGACACAGGTACGCTTTCATTGCACTATTGTGCGTGCATGCGTGCGGGCGCGCTCGCGTGTGCGTCTGATGGTGCGTGCGTCTGCACCTGATGGTGCGTGCGTGTGTGCCTGATGGGTGCGTGTGGAGGGTACGGGTGCGTACAACGATTGCAATCGTGATTTTACCATCTTGTGTGATTAAACATCTTGTGTTGATCATGTTATGCAATGTGTTCTCATGCATGCCTTTAAGCTTTCACGAGTTCCCCACATGCCCCAGCAAGCAGTCCTAGTCCTATTCCTTTTGAGTCCACGCAAAAGTCACTATCCTTTTCGTCCACCTATTGTTCTCCAATGCTCGTTCTTCCTTCAGGTACCGGCATCCCCCGCCACGCTCGGAGGCACATTTTCCGGCCGTACGCGCAGGCAGAGCGCAGCACGGCACGGCTGCATGGGGGGACGGGCATCGGACTCTCCATCTGCAAGGTGCGTTGTGTTGGGATTCCCCATTTCAATGTGTCCTTTGGGCTTTAAGGTGCATTGCATCGGCCTCTCCATCTGCAAGGAGTGCGTTGGGACCCCTGATTAAATGTGTCAATTGGGCTTCACGGTGCGTTGCATCGGGTCACCTGCTGTGCAAGATGCACTGCATCGTGACACCTGCCTCGGCCTCTCCATCTGCAAGGTGCGTTGTGTTGTTGGGGATCCTACATTGTTATCCTTATTTTCCTGCCCGTATCCTTCCGTTTCCCACTCTAATCCCCTCCACCACCCCCCTCCCTCCCCCCGCTCTCGCCTGCAGCGCCTGGTGTCGCTGATGGGCGGGTCCATCTCCTTTGTCTCAAAGCCAGGCGTCGGCACCACCTTCCTCTTCGATATCCTCCTCCACACACCCCCTCTCCTCCACACACCCCCTCTCCCTCACCCTCCTGGTCCTCCTCGCTCCCTGGCTCATCCTCCCCAACCCCACACAACTCCTCCTGAACCCAGCACTCCGCCTCTTGCCCCTGTCCCACTTCTCTCCTCTCTCTCCCTCTCTCCTCCCCTGCTAAATGCATCTGCAACCTCTAAGCCCTCCTCTACCTCTCCCTCTGGCCCAACAAACATCCCCGCTCCTCTTCCTCAAAGTTCCTTTAACGTGCCCTCCCAAGGCACAGCCAACCAGCACCAGCAGAAGCAGCATCAGGCAGCATGTGGGCAGGAGGGCGTGTGTGTGGTGAGTGTGGACGACCGGCCGGTGCGGCATGCCGTCACTCTCTCTCTGCTGCGCCGCCTTGGCATCTGCACCCTCCCCTGCCCCTCCTTCCACCTCCTCCCCCGCCTCCTCGCCCAACACCACTCCTTGCACCATGCAGAGCAGAAGCAGGGGCAGGAGCAGGAGCTGAAGCAGGGGCAGGAGCAGGAGCTGAAGCAGGGGCAGGAGCAGGAGCTGAAGCAGGGGCAGGAGCAGGGGCAGGAGCAGGGGCAGGAGCAGGAGCAGGAGCAGGAGCAGGGGCAGGAGCAGGAGCAGGGGCAGGAGCAGGAGCAGGAGCAGGAGCAGGAGCAGGAGCAGGAGCAGGGGCAGGAGCAGGAGCAGGAGCAGGAGCAGGGGCAGGGGCAGGGGCAGGGGCAGGGGCAGCAGCAGGGGCAGGAGCACGGGCAGGAGCAGCAGCAGGGGCAGGAGCAGGGGCAGGAGCAGGAGCAGGGGCAGGAGCAGGGGCAGGAGCGGCTTCCCTGCTCACAAGCCAGCAGAGGACCCATCAGCAACCATTCTTATCCCCCTCTAAAGAATCGTCTCGAGCTATTAAATTGTCCTCTCGAGCCGCTGCTTCAGCCTTTCGAGCCTCCTCTTGAGCCATTTGGCTCGCCGGCTGTTCTTGTCGCTTCTCCCCCCTTCCGCCCCTCCGCCTCCACCCCCTCTGCTTCCTCCGACCGTTGCTCCCCTCTCTCTCTCGCTCCCCTGTCCCGCCAGTCTTCCTGCCCTCCTCTTTCAGTCGCTGCCTGCTCTTCAAGCGGGAATGGCGAGGGTAGAAGGGGGTATAAGCAGCAGCAACAGCAGCAGCAGCAGCAGCAGCGGAAGCAGCAGCGCTGGCGGAAGAAAAAACAGGAGAAAGAGGGAGAGGAGGAGGCGGAGGGGGAGGGGGAGGAGGAAGAAGAAGCGGAGGAGGATGAAGGAGAGGAAGAAGCAGAGGAAGAAGGAGAGGTGGACGGAGAGAGGGAGGGGAGAGTGCAGCAACAAGTGCACTACAAGAGCTTGAGCAAGGAGGAGAGGCGGGGATGGGTGGGGGCGGTGGTGGTGGAGGGGGAGATGATGCAGCGGCTGGGCGTCACAGCAGATAGAATCCATTCTCTTTTGATGGACCAGGGAGGGGTTGGGATGGCTGGGTCTGGTGGGCCAATGAGCAAGCGAGAGGATACGAGTACAAGTGAGCAGATGAGCAAGGGAGGGCACATGAGCAAGGGTAGGGACGAAGGTGAAGAGATGTCAAGGGAGGGACTGCCACGAGTGAGCAGGTGTGTAGTTGAGGAGAACCCGCACGGAAGCGAGTGCGGCGACTGCAGCAAGAGCTGTAGCAGCTGTAGAAGATGGCCCGTCCCCTTCCTTGTGCTACTGCATGGCTCCTACCTCCTCCCGCCCGGCCCTCTCGCCAGAGGCCTTTCTCAGGCCGACAGCTTCAGCCCTTGTGAGACGGGTGCTTATAAAGGGGACAGCTTTTCCCATGATCTGGATTTGGACGGCCACAGGGGGGTCAGCTGTGATTCGCCACGGAGACGGAGGGGGCAGGCCGGAGAGACGAACAGGGACAGGAGTATAGACAGGGGTATGGTCAGAAGCAGGAGAAGCAGCCGTAAGAGCAAGGAGAGGGCCGCAACTGCTGAAAGAAGGGATGGAAGGGCGGAAGGATTCGATTGTGAGTGTAAGCCGTGTGACTGTAACGATTTGACCAGAGGCTGCCGAGGCGGCAGTAGCAGCAAGAGCAGGAGCAGCAGGTCGCCTGCGCTTTCCCTCTCGCCCTCGCCTGCGCCCTCACTCGCGCCCTCCCCGTCTATCCCCTCGCTGTTGTCGCTTGGCTTTGATGCTGTTGTGAGGAAGCCTCTTCGGAAACCGGCGCTGCTGGCGGCGCTTCTGCCTCTTTTTAGTGTGGGCACAGAGCTAAGTGAGTGTGTGCAGGAGGGTGGAGGTGGAGGAGGAGGAGGAAGAGGAAAGGGCGAGGATGCAGCACAGGGAGGGGTTAGAGACGAGGGTCGTACTGTGAGAACGAGTGGTTTAGTGAAATTCAGCCAGCAGCAGCAGCAGCAGCAGCAGCAACAGATCTCAAGAGATATTGTGACTGCATACCACCGCCCTCTCACTGTAGAATGTAGTGACAGTACCAATCGACAGGGTGAAAGACAGGGTGAGAGGAAGGATGAGAAGCAAGATGAGAGGCTGGGGCAGTGGGGTGGTGCGGCATTGGAGCTAGTGAGCCCATCGGCCCTCCACAAGGCAGGCAGCAGTGCTGCAGCAGCCCTCTGGCGAGCTGTGACGTCCCCCGGCTCACTCATGTCCCCTCTGTCCCTCGCTTCCCCTCAGTCGCTCGATTCCCCTCGCTTGTTTAAGTTGAGCCAATCTCATTCTCCCACCTCTCCCACCTCTCCCACCTCTCCCACCACTCCCGCCATCCCCATCACTCCCACCACACCCACCACACCCACCACGCCCACCACTCCCGCTTCTGACGCAGCCAAATCCAAAGCTGCTAGCCCCGTGGCGGCACGAAACACGTCACCCAATGCCAACAGTGGCCGTGTTGCCTCTCTTCCGGGAAAAGAGCTGATCGTGGGTGAGAAGAAGGAGGCATCGCTTGGAGGGCAGCAGCAGGGCATGGATGGCAACAGTGTCTCCTTGGTGAACCGGTCTGCTTCCCTCGAGCACCTGATTGCACCGGCTGCAACCGCACCTTCTGCTGCTGCTGCTGCTGCTGCTGCTGCTGCTTCTACAGGTTTGGCATCCCTTGCTGCTACAGCGGGTGGAGGTGGTAATGTGGCGGGAGGTAGGGCCCTCGGGAGAGGCACCAGTGCCGGAGAAGCACCTGGTTCAGGCAAACGGAGGGCATGCGTGCACGGGTCAGCAGGTGATAGGAGAGCATTTGGCCGGTCCCGTGCAAGACAGAGTGATAAGAGGCATAGCACTAACACCAGTGGTTCTGGTGGCGATGATGGTGCTGCTGCTGCGGCTGGTGCTGGTGGTGGTGGTGGCAGGGTGAGTGGGTTTGAGAGTGTGCTGGATTTTGCAGGATTCTCTCCTGCCACTTCAGCTTCCTCGCTTGGGACACTGTCCCCTGCCCTTACATCTTTTGAGGAGCCTCATAAGTCTTTATCCGTTGGCACACTATCGCCTGCCCTTACACGCACACCATCGCCATCAGTCTCATCATCCTCAGCACCAGCAGCACCGCCAGCAGCACCAGTCCTAGCAGCAACGGCAGGGGAGCCGGCGACGGTGGGGGAGAGGGTGGGGGTGCTGGCAGGGAGGCGGGTGATGGTGGTGGATGACAACGTGGTGAACCGCAAGGTGGCCAGCAAGCTGCTGGAGAGGCACGGCGCGCGAGTCACCGCCGTCGATGGCGGCGCCAAGGCACTCCAAGCCCTCGCCCCGCCCCACCCCTTCGACCTTGTCTTCATGGATTTGCAGGTAAGAGCAGAAAGGCAGAAAGAATTATCAGGTGGGCTGTATTTTGAGTCGACTCAGAACATGGATTTGCAGGTAAGAGGAGAAAGGCAGAAAGGATTATCGGGTCAGCTTTCAGGTGAGCGGATGGGCAGCACAACCCCTTCCACCTCGCCTTTCTGGACCTGCAGGTGAGATCAGGGGGAGCTGGGCTTTCAGGTGAGGGGAGGACCATGAGGCATACCACCCCTATCACGTCGTCCTCCTAGCCCTGCTGGTGAGCCGAGGAGGCTAGAGATGTGTGGGAGGTAGGGAGATCCTCAATCTGCCGCCCATCGTGGCTTCATCTTCATCCCCTTACCCCCGGTTTTCCTCCTTTCCCTTGCAGATGCCGGGCAGGGCATGGGCTGCCCATCTTATTGTAACACTCACATCCAACTCTTCTCCCCCTCCCACCTCCCGGTGCAGATGCCGGGCATGGATGGGCTGGAGGCGACCCGGAGGATCCGAGCGCGGGAGAGGGCTCAGGGCGGGGGGCATGTGGCCATCATTGCGCTCACAGCGGATGTGATTGCCGGCACGCGCCAGCAGTGCTTTGCTGTCGGCATGGATGACTACCTCTCCAAACCCCTTGACGACGGCCCCCTCTCCCACGCCGTCTGGCGCTGCCTCACCACCCATACATGACGCAAAACCTCATGCACACTAATACATGCATGTCTAGGGCTAAGTGAATGAAAAACTGCATGCTGGTAGTTCGTGGCGAGCTAATTTATTAATGTAATTCCGTGTAAATAGGTCCCGCCCTTGCTGCCGTTGAGCACCAGTGAGTGCCTTAGGTATCCAGGCCAGGGTGTTGTAAACTGCTGTAGTCCTCTCCCCATCATGTGAGCCATTAAGGGTTTATGTGCCAAGCCTGGCTGATTTCTGTGGTGTAACGAGGCTGTGTATGGTGTGGGCTTACGGTTGCTGCTGCGGAGCTTGTTACAGCGCACAGCGAAAATGATGCGACCTCTGTTTTCTCGCAACAGGTAGCTCTGAGATGCTTTTGCGCGAGATGCGGCGCATGCGACAAACTTCCATACAAACTTGACAGAGAAAGGCACTAGATGGTTTCGAATGTTTTGTCGTGTCACATAGTGGTTTAGTACGGTTCGGCGGCATTCAGCACGTCCTACAAGAACCCTCGCAAATACCTGAATGCTTCCGTGCAGGCCGGCAGGGGTATGGCGGAAATGGGGGGCACCAGGATTCATTTTGCCTTGTCAGCACGCCAAGGAGCCTTTGCCTAAACAGCACGCCATGCCATTTAGTTACCACCAGCAACGTTGTTTTAGGTGCAAAGCAATATCCAATTTCGAGACCTGAAAAGATGAGACCCCGAGAGCGTGAAACTGCCGCCGCAAGTTGCGGTCTTCGAGTTTCGACGGCATCTGACGCGTTTCCGGTTTAGAAGCCCTTTATCGGCTCCAGCAGTCTGGCGCGCCTGAAGTTCCACCGCAAATCGCTGCCAGGCGCTCCCCATTCCTGGTAGTAACCTGTCCTAGTAGCGCGCCGCATCATGTGCTGCCTTCAACCATATCTGATACCCCTTCAGCCATCTGCACATGCGGCTGTTTTCTCGTGTGGCCATCTTGACTGGCTATAAAGGTGGCACCTGAATTTCCTCAAAGGACCACCCGTTTCACAGTCCGTTCGAACCTCCTCTCCATCCCAAAATTGTTCCCCCCCGTACAATGTACCTATAGGTTCTGCTACAAGCAATTTACTCCATATAGCTCCGTATCTACAATATAGCAGAACCTATAAGTACATAGTAAGGGGGGAAAACAATTTTGTGAAGTCTAATTCCATTCTGTAGTGTCAGCGCTGACACCGTGTTTCAGGGTACCACACGCAAGTCGTACCTCCCAAGCAGCCATGGGCCGCACGTCGCTGCGACTCGCGTTCGTCCTGGCTAGTAAGTACAACCTTCACTACTTTAACTTACTATTCCGATCCGCCCGTTTTACGAAGTTCGTGCGCGATCTACGATTATTGCAGCTTGAAGCAGGGAGAAACTGTGAAATTTTCGACTCGCTTACGGCGTCGCTGTGAAGTCGTTTTCACAAGAGAGTCTGACGTAGCAAGTACATTGTTTTTCTGGACGGGCACGTCGTTCTCTTCGTGCAGTGCTGCTCTCGCTCGCCTGCAGCGCCGTCGCCGGGCGCCATCTGCTGCAAACCTCCAACACGCGCTGTACGCCGGCGTTCTGTCATTTCTGATGCTTCTAACTTGCACTCTCTCTCGTTTTTCGTTCTCTTTTTCTTGTACGCACTTGTAGTGTCATCGCAACGATCCAGTCTCATGCCTCGTTGCCTTATCCTCTCAAGACGTGTCCCTCGCTTTTTCTCTCGACTTTTTCTTTCGCTGACGATATCTTTCTCAATGACGCGCAGACCAAACATCGTCCAGTCCCTACTCGAAAACTGGCGGTTTGACTGGCACGAGCACCCTGGATGCCAACGTGTAAGCGCCAAATTGATTTGATAGCAACTCAGTTCCTTTCCGTAGTGTTGATTACTGATTCCCACTATATCCTTGGTTACTCACTCACGTTGTCAGAGAGATGGCGTGAACAAGGTGTCAACGTGATTAGTATGTATCTCACCCAAATCACATCGACACCTTTAAGGTGAACAAGTTGTTCACGCCATCTTGCGGAACATTCGACAAGCGAGGGTTTCTATCTACTAGTAGAAGAAGTGAAGCTGTGTTGTAGCTGCAAGCTGATTCCTTTGGAATTGGCATTTCCATCCTACTTGACGTTAGCATGACTGCACCTTCAGGACCCCATTACCACGGGCTCTGGCATCTGCTTTTTTCTTTCTTTCTTTCTTCCCTCCCTCCCCCCCGCTCACCCCCTCCTTTACCCCCCTTCCCCGTCCATCCTCTCCTCTTGCAGCACGGCCACTTCCCAGATTTCCTCCTCCTTCTTCCGCGTTATGAACATATCTGTCACGACCCCCAAATTCACCAATCCCGGTTACTACAACTCCACCGGCGCGCTCGTGGCAGAGTTCCCGTGTACATTCCAGGCAGAATCAACTAGCGGCAGTTGGAACTGCACCCTTGTAGAAACAGCTACACCCACTTCACCTTACCAGCCAGTTGGCACCATAAAGGCGTTGGTCGACTCTGGGCTGTTCACGAAATCCACGGGCTTCTATGTTTCGGTTAAAGTTGACGGTGTGCAGGTGAAGGGGACTATTACAACAAGTGTGACGACCTTCTGACAGAGATGTATTTCACTTGCATCCGTACCGCTAGCGTTTGGATTTGGCATGAATTACCACATGTCAGTTTTGAGCATCTGCTTGTGGAATTGTCTTGTGCATGAGAACCTTATTTTGATAATCTGCAAACTGAGAAAAAAAGAATTACCTCCCAAACAATCAGATCGGCTTTTTTTTATTAGTCAGCCCTGGCGCTTCATTTCCCAAGACGCGAAAACCAAATGTGCAAAGTGGGGGTAAGTAACCACAACCTACCCCAATTTCGTATCGCGCTCATATCCGGGATGATACGGTATGACGCCTCGTTTACGCTATGATTGCAGCGATATCTCAAAAGCCAAGAACCGTTGCAAACGGTTCTGAGAGCGATCAGCTCCTACAGAATGCTGTGAACAGCTTCCCCTGATTTGGCACCGCAGCCAAACATGTGGTTGCTGTAGCAGCTGTCATGCTACACAAAAAGCTTCTTCATAACCCTTGCACCTGTATCCACTCTCTTCCTTTCACCCCTCACGCTCCTCAGTTCACTCCCTCCCCTTACCATAGCCAATGTTCTCGCCTCAGCAGCACCACCCCATTAGTCACCTCCCTCGCCTCAGCACCACCCCCTGCCTTTCTCTCTCCTCCTTCCTCTGCTGAAATGCTGCCACCTGCTTCTCCAACTGAAGCAACCACATGTTGAGGGAGGGCGCGCGGGGGAGGATGGGAGGAAGGGAAGGGTGCGGAAGGGGGAAAGAGCAGGGGTCAGAAATGGTGACTGGTTTGCCTCTCCTCCTTCGTCTGCTGAAATGCCGCCACCTGCTTCTCCAACTGATGCCCCCACACGTGGAGGCACGAAACAGGGGAGAAGGGGAGGAGGGAAAGGGGAGAGGTGGAGGGAGGGCAGGGAGAGGAGAGGGAAAGGGGAGGAGGGGGAGAGGAGCAGGGTCAGCGAAGACGATAGGGTAAAAAACATGGGGAACAGCATGTTGTCTTCGCTGACCCCTGCTCCTCTCAGCATGGATTAAAAAACATGGGGAATAGCATGAGCGTTGGCAATAAACCTCTCAGCATCTCATCTTGACTCACCCGTTACTGGAGCCACCTCAGTGCTGGCTGTTGGCAGCTGCCTTACCTGAGCTTTTTGGTTGACTACACCATGACACACTGCTCCCACCTGAGGATTCTGCTTGACAGCGCCAGACACAAGGGACTTACAATACCATTTCACAAGCGGACTCGCCAAAGCTAACTGCACTCGCCGCAGCTAGCTGCACCCGCCACAGCTAACTGCACTCGCCACAGCTAACTGCACTCGCCACAGCTAACTGCACTCGCCTGGACATTGGCATCGACTGCATCAGGACAAAACGGACTAAGCATGAATCTAAGCATGCTGAGTGACCACAAACTGCACTCACCCGGACATTGTGGTTGCACCTTACCTCCCTCGTCGCTGCAATCCGCTGCGTCAGCTCCACTTCAAGACAAACCGCACTCAAGACAAACCTGGGTGTTGCGGTTGCAGTAGGTGATGACAGTATCCAGCAGCGTCGCCACTGTGTTGTCCTGGCGTTGACTTGAAGAATTACAGACAAGAACAGCCACGTGTAGAGAGGGTATTTTTGAGACGTCTCAAAAATACCCTCTCTACTCATGGCGTTGACTTGAAGAATTACAGACAAGAACAGCCCCAAGCCAAACCACTCTGACCTGGGTGTTGCGGTTGCGGTAGGTGATAACATTGTCCACCAGCGTGGCCACTTTGCTGTCAAGGAGATGACTTAAAACTTCTGGACAAAAAGAGCCCCAGGCCACGCCACACACTCACCTGTGCGTTGCGATTGCGGTAGGTGATGACATTATCCACCAGCGTGGCCACTTTGCACCTCATCTCCGCTATCCGCTGCATCAGCTCGCGCTCCCTCTCTGATGGCAACTCTACCTGCATGTTTGCAATCGGAATAGCGCAAGATTAGGGTGACTGTACGAAGGCCGACAGTAACAACGGTGGCAATGATATAGGGTAACAAAGGTGACCCCATCTGCTGCGTCAGCCCGCGCTCCCTTTCAGAAGGCAGCTCCTCCTGCATGCCATTGGAACAAGGCATGACCAGGGTGACAATAAGGAGGGTGACAGCAACCCAATCACAGTTGAGACCCAATCTGCTGCATCAGCTCGCGATCCCTCTCCGATGGCAGCTCCACCTGCATGCATGCATGGCATTGGAACAGCAAATTAACTAAATGAAGTCTACCAAAGAGTACCAACCAACATAAGGCAAGGAATTGGATCAAGGCGATGGAGTGAAGCGATTGAAGCGGACAAGTATGTGGCTTACCTTGATGCCTCCCAGCAACGCTGCGGGTTTTTGGCAGTCCCTTTAAGAATTCTTAAAAGTGAATCCCAAATGGAAGAGCATCTGGCGTACCTTGATGCGTCCCAACAGCGCTGCTGATTGCTCCGGATTCTTAATCTCTGGAAGGGGAAAAGCAAGGATGCAGAGATGGAGATGGCAGAGGCAGCACAGCAGGGGATGAAAGGCTTTTGAGGCACCTCGAATGTCTTGTATCGAACGTCTGTAACATGGGAGCATTACCAGGGGATGGATGGGACGTTATGCATGGGCACGAAAGAGGCCAGAAGGCAGAAAAACATGGTCTGACTTGAAATAGTGAGAGGCACAATACGAGTGAGGGTTGACTATAGTGGGGCAACTGAAAAAGGCCAGCAGGACAGGAGCAGGAAGAACTGAAAGCAGGGAGAGGCATAATACAGAGCATGTCAACGTGCTGATACGGCTCTCAGCTGGATGTGCGTCTGAGAGCTCCTTGGTGAGATTCTTGCGGCGCCTAAAATCTTTTGAGGCAGCTAGAAACTCCTTTTGAGGCACCTAGAAACTCCCACCTGGATGCGCCTCTGAGAGTTCCTTGATAAGCGTGAAGAGCACCTCCTGTGGTTCAGCAGTGCATGGCAATGCGTGGCAATGCGTGGCAATGCGTGGCAATGAGTGGCAGTCCATGGTAGCACGACATGACGGAACATGGCAATGAATGCGAACACATGGAAACATATGGCAACACATGGCAACATATTGCAATGCATGGCAACACATGGCAGCAGATGGCAACACATGGCAACACATGGCAAACACAAGACAGATACAGACAGAAGGGTTCATAAAGAACCCAAAAAAAAAAAAAAAAAAAAAAAAAAAAAAAAACCAAACAATCGTCAGTGCTTCAGCAACACAGGCACACACAAGTAACGAGTTTGTGAAGGGACGTATGTGGTGAGAGGCACACAGGAACAAATGGTTGCAGAGAGGGGAGGTAATGAACAGTGATGAGCAGGTGCGTCAAAGCACACAGACCAGACCAGACTAGAGCTGACTCGAGCAGAGCAGAGCAGCGCAGCGCAGCGCAGAGCAGAGCAGAGCAGAGCAGAGCGGAGCGGAGTGGAGTGGAGTGGAGTGGAGTGGAGTGGAGTGGAGTGGAGTGTACCTGCTGCTCCGAAGCATGCTTGAGCAACGCTCTCAAGTGCGGCACTACTATAAGACTTATGAGACGTCTCAGAAGCGTACCTGCTGCTCTGAAGCATGCTTGAGCAGGGATCTTAAGTGGGGCACTGCTATAAGAGCGTCCGAGACAGCAGCAGCAGAGGAGGCCGAGGAGCGTGCAGGGGCAGAGAGGATGGTGGAGGGCAGCGAATGCACCGATGGTAGGGAGGCTCGGCCTGAGGGCTGCAGGGAGGAATGGGGGTTGAAGCATGAACAGTAAGGAAAGAGAAAGAGTCGTTTAGGCAGCCAAAGAAGCAAGGGTAGAGCAGAGGATGGAGGAGGGTAGCAAGGACGGTGGAGGGCAGAGAGGATGGGGGTGGAGGGTAGAGACGATGGGGGTGGGGGGCAGAGACGATGGGGGTGGAGGGTAGAGACGATGGGGGTGGAGGGTAGCAAATACAGGATGGGGGTGGGGCAGAGACAATGGTAGGAAGGCTGTGTTGGATGGGTATGTACGGGGCGGGTGACGAGGTGGGTGAGGATCTAAGAGAAACAGAGGGAGAACAAGGTGCGCGTTTTGAGTCGAAGGGACGGTGAGGTGTGAAGGCAGGCAGGGAGTGTAAAGATGCTAGGCAAAGATGACTGCGCTGCTGCAAGGAGGGATGGTTGGTGAACTCGAATGAGAGAGAACTAGGGCGTCACTAGGGCAGGGCGTTACTAGGGCAGGGCGTTGCTAGGGCAGGGCGTTACTAGGGCAGGGCGTACCTGGTTTGACATGCTTTGAAGCATGGAGGAAAGGGAGGGCATTGAGGAGGGCGGCAGCAGTGAGCGAGCGAGGGAGGTGGAGGAGAAGGAGGAGGAAGCGAGGACGACACCTTTCACTGGCCTGAGGGACGCCACAGACGGACTCTGATTGGGGGAGAAGGCGGGGAGAGACAGGGAATAGGGGGAATGGATGGTGGATGAGGGGAAGAGGGGAGTGGGGTCAAGGGGGAGGGAGGAGGGAGAAAGTGTGGTGGGATGGAGTGACGGTGAAACTCCTTGGTTAAAAAAAGGCGGAAAACCATTAAGGGGGGTGAGGGAGGGAGGGAGGGAGGGAGAAGGAGGAAGAAGCGATGTGAAGGAAAAGGGGCTACTTATGACTGAGACACATGCTTATGGCCATGATTTGGGAGGAAGGGAGGGGGTGGAGAAGAAAAGAGGTAGACGATGGAATGGAAAGGGGGGTGGAAGGAGAAGGAGGAAGGCAAAGCAACCATTGGCGGTGAATGCACGAGGTTCCAGGACTGCCACGAGTGAAAGAGTTGAGTCTGTTTATACGTCAACTCAAAAACAGAATGCACCAAGTTCCAGAGCTGCCACGCGTGGAAGAATTGGATGACGGCACACAGCAATGTGAGCAGTGAAAAGAAAAGTGCGCAATGGGGAGTGCAGAGTTCTGGGCATGGCAAGCTTGGGGGTGACAACTGACACGCATGGCAAGCATGTGGGTCACAATCAACGCGCATGGCAAGGATATGGGCCACAATTGACGCGCATGGCATGTGGACGCACGGCATGTAGGCGACAGTATGGTTGTATGTGTTTGGGTTAGAAGCCTCGTGGCAGGCAGGGCAGGCAACAACGGGCGCAACACACCGGTGGCTGGGTGCGAGACGAGGAGGAGAACGACCGCCGATGCAACAACTGCTGCTGCAACAGAAGCTGCATGTGCTGCTGGCTTTGCAGCTGCCTTTGCAGCAGGCTTTGCTGCTGCTGCTGCTGCTGCTGCTGTGCGTTGAGTTGTCTCCTCGTGCGGGGAGTCACCAGCAACCCTGAACCCGCCCCCCCACCTGCTGCTGGTGTTGTGGGAGTGGAGTGGGCTGAAGAGGGAGAGGAGGAGACCTGATGGAAGAAGGGGTCAGATGGCAGGGAGAAAACAGGGCAAGAAAGAGAGAGCATATCATGCATGCGGGCATGCATGCATGTGAGTGTGCGTGGCTGTGTGTGAGTGTACGTGCATGCATGTGCAAGTATGCGTGCGGATGCATGTCTGTGCATGCACTCCTGCGTGTGTGCGCGCTCATGTGTGCAACATAGGAGGAAAGAGGAATTCGGACAGGCACCAGTAGGCACAGGCACAGGCACCAGTAGGCACATGCACCAGTAGGCAGTTTCTGCATCCACAGCATTGAACAACTACCACAGCATTGAACAACTACCACAGCATTGACAGCCACATACCCTTGTTCTGCTCTACACCTGATCTATCGCCTGAACAGTCGTCTCATTCCAACATTCACCTGCACTGAAGTCCGCCGAGTGCCCTGCTGCCCCTGCTGCACCTTCACCAATCCACCCGCCCCTGCTGCTGCTACAGCCGCTGCTGTACCCGCTCCTGCTGCCCCTGCCCCTGTTCCAGTTGCCCCTGCTGCTGCCCCTGCCCCTGGCACAGATGCAACCGGACTTATTTTTGAAGGAGTGAGAGGAGCAACGGATAGAAGGGAGGAGGAGGAGGACGAGGAGTGGAGGGAGGGGAGGGGACCAGAGGAGGAGGAGGATGTGGAGGAGGTACGAGGAGAGGGCGCTGCTGCTGCAGAGAGAGGCCCGCTTGCAGTAGCAGGAGAGTCCTGCGCAGTGAGGAAAAGCACACAGGCGCGAGAAGAAAGCTTGAGAAAAGGAGGGAGATGGAAGATGGAAGTGGGGGAGAGTGGCTGCTGCAGCAAAAAGAGGCCCGCTTGCAGAAGCAAAAAGAGGCCCGCTTGCAGAAGCAAAAAGAGGCCCGCTTGCAGAAGCAAAAAGAGGCCCGCTTGCAGAAGCAAAAAGAAGCCCGCTTGCAGAAGCAAGAGATCCTTGTGCAGGGAAAGAATGGCACACAGCAGCAAACTTTGCTGCGCCTAATAAAAAAAACTTGCGCAGAGAGTGAACAGCAGACACGAGCCAGACGAATGCTCGAGGGAGGGAGGGAAGTGGAAGGGGGAAGGGAAGGGTGGGAGAGGTGGGGAGGGGACACATGTGACATATAGGGATGGGAGCACGGAGAGGAGGAAGTAGTTGGAGCATGAAGGAGAGAGGATTCAAACCACAGAGAAGGGAAGAACCACTTCGTTGTTTCGCATCCCCCCCGTGTTTCTTTCCTTCACCCACCTTTCTGAAAGAAGGGAGGTGGGAGGACCCAGCAGCAGCAGCAGCAGCAGCAGCACCCCATGGGAGGGTGTGGGAGGGCGGTTGGGCGGCAGCACAGCCGCAGGCCCAGCAGCAGACTGTTGCTGTCCTGGCGGGCGGGGCATGAGGGAGCTGCGCAGCACAATGGGGGTGGGCGCCATGCCCATGCTCTCCTCCTCGTCGTCCGAGTCGTCTGTCGTCACTGAGAACCGCCCCTTTTGCTGGACGCCTGCTCGCCCTGCCACCGCCCCTCCCCCTCCTCCCCCCCCTCCCCCCCTCCTCCTCCCCCCCCTCCCCCTCCTCCTCCTCCCACTCCTCCCCTCTCCTCCTTCCCCTTCTCCTCCCGCCCTCTCAACTCCCTGGACACACCTCCCTCCTTGCTCCTCTCCTCCCTCCTCTTCTCCTCTCGTGCCCGCTCCTCCTTAAGCTTCCCCACCTCGCGGGCAAACAACCCTCCTTCCCTTGGGCCTGCCTTCTCATCTCTCGTCCGTGCCTCCTTCCCTCGCTCTCCCTTCAGTCTCTCCTCTCTAACCCGCTCCTCTCTTGCCCGCTCCTCTCTCCCCCTCTCCTCCTTCCCCTTCTCTTCACTCCCCCTCTCCACCTTTCCCCTCTCGTCCCTCCTCCGCTCCCTCTCGTCCTTCCCCTTCTCCCTCTCCCTATCTTCCCGAGAACCATCCCTCACTCTCTCCTCTCTCACCCGCTCCATCCCCAACCTCTCCTCCCTCCCCCCATCCTCTCTCCCTCGACCCTCCCGCACCTCTGTGAACCTTCCTGTAGATCCACCTGGCCCTCTATGAACGGTGAAGGCACCGCCCCCTGAGGCCTCATGCGGGGAGGGCGTACCTGGTGTAGCCTGGATCTGGCCGGAATAGGGTTTCACAGGGGCGTTTCGGCTAGAAAGGGAAGCAGCAGATAAGCCCGCACCAGATGAGCCGCCTGTGGGTACGGACAAGGCAGCAGGCGCAGCAACAGAAGCAGCCGTACGGTTAGCCGGGGCAGCAACAGAATCAGCACCAGCAGGAGGACAAACGGCAGGAACAGAAGCAGCAGAGGTGGTAGTAACAGCAGCAGCAGCAGAGGGTGGGGTAGAGAAGGTTGCAGTGGGGTGTTGATAAGCAGCAGCAGGGAGAGGCGCTGCGTCTTCGAAATCTGACGGGTCGTCAGCAGGCTCGAATGTGAAGCGCGATGGCAGCTTCCCCGGCCGTGACGCCTTAGCGCCTGCATGCCTGCTCGCACAGGGGGCACGGGGGGTGCAGGGAGGGCGCAGGGGGGCAAAGGTGGGGAAAGAGGGGCGCAGAGGAGGGGGACAAGGGGGCACAAGGGCGCAGGGGGGCGCAGGGGGACACAGGGAGACTGTGGATGACATTGGAAAGGGGAGAACTCGGGGATTCAGCGAATAGGGGAGTGGGTAGTGGGGGGTGGGGAGGGAGGAGAGGGGAATGGGGGGATGGGGGAAGGGGAGGGGGGGTGGAGGGGGAGACGGGAAGTAGGAAGAGAACGGGTTCTTGCGAGTGATTTTTGAGAATTCTCAAAAATCACTCGCAAGGGAAGAGTGAGAAGGAAAGCGCACAAAGCATGGAGAAATGGGCAGACAAACGGCCATTCATTTTTAGGTGCCTGAAAAGGAAGGGGATACACACGGCCACGCCCATACAACGATGGAAATCATAACATCATATCGCATCATACTATCATATGAGACTGCCATCATATCCCCCACTTACTGCTCTGCAAACTCCCCCCCCTATACTGCGCACAACCACCACGTACCGCTCTGCATCGTCTTTCACCAGAAACCGGTCCACCACAATCACCCCGGCTGCTGCTGTAGCCTTGTCCCCCAACAGCGGGCCACTCTTCGCCTTTCCCCTCACCGCCCCCCCTTGCCCCTCCGCCCCTCCCACCTTGCCGTCCCCTCTCGCCCCAACCCCAACTTCTCTCTCTCCCCCTCCCGCCACAGCAGCAGCAACTGCTGCCCCTTCACCTCCTCCTGCTCCTGCTACTGTCGCTGCTGCTGTTGATGCTGGTCCGCGCGACAACCCAGCAACACCAGCACCAGCACCAACAGCAGCAGCAGCCCCAGCAGGCCCTTTGTCCGGCAAAGGCCCGGACGACCATGCCCTCCCAGCCAGATGCGCCGAATCCCCCCCTACTGCCTCTGCAACGCAAGAGACAGCCCTACCAGCACCCGCATATCCAGCGCCATTGCCACCAACGTTACCTGCTGCAGCAGCAACGGCTTCCTCTTCTGACCTCCCATCAGCCTCAACCCCTGCTGCTGCGCCCGCTGCCCTTACCCCTAGCCCCTTGCTCTCCCCCCTTTGTCCCCTGCGCCAGTCGTCCCCCGGACCCTCGTCCAGGGCAGGCAGAGGCCCGGACAGGAACTGCCTGGAGCGAGGCTCCTGGGAGGTAGCACCTGCGCGGGTGCTACCTGCACTAGATGAGCCCGTAACATTGCTGATGGTGCCGCCGCCGCTGCCGGTGCTGCTTGTGTGCCCAGCAGCAGCAGTCACAGACGCAGCAGTGGCAGTGGCAGCTGCTGAAGTCGCAGGAGCAGAAGCAGCGATAGCGGCACCTGAGTCAGCAGCAGTGGCAGCAGCGGTGGCGGAAGGGGTAGCAGCAGGAGCAGGAAGAGGACCACTGATGGTGTCCAACACTCGCCGTCGATCCAACGGCCCTGATCCCTGCTTGGCCAAGCCTCGACTCGGCGCTCCTCCTACTCCTGCTACTCCTGCTCCACCTGCTCCTGCTGTTTCTGCTGCGTTTGCTCCGGCAGCTGCTGCAGGAGCGCCAGCTGCTGTCCTGCCGGCGGGTAACGAGGCGGAGGACGGCGGCCACGGGGAGACGTCAATGTCGCTGTCGGACTGGTCGCCTTCTATTACCTGGAACCTTCCCCTGCGAGAAGAGCATGGAGCATTGGGCAGGCCGTGAACAGGTGGAGGGGGTAGGACCGGGGAATTTTTAGTGGGTGGATTGGCCTTACAAAGAGTTATGTGTGCTCTCGGAATGTGTTAGCTAGTACTGTGTTAAAGAGGCGCCAAAATGGTAAGAAAAATATATCAAAAGGTTATTGCTATAATGACTACCGGTTGAAAAGCGGAAGTTCTCTCGGATGAGTAGAACGAGCCATTGACTGTGTCAGGCGTAATAGCGACCGGAAAACTAAGCCAAAAAGCGAGTCATCCCTAAAGCGGATTAGCAGCTTTATTGCGTAGTGGGAGCTGGCGGTAGTTTAATATCATCATAATAGGCTTACCGCGTGATGGGAGCTTTGGGCGGCATTATGTCACAGAGGGATGGCGCCTGCAGAGAATCCTTCGCCCCCGCAACGACTTCTGAGAAATCTCGATCAGTTTTCGTACCGCAACTACTTCTCGCTTATTCGCAATAAGTTAATTTTTATGTCGACGCAGCTGCCAGATAATTAAACATAACCAAGCACCCTCGTCTTTCTATACTGGAATTGGTCGGTCGAAATGGTCTTGGAAGCAGCGCATTTGCTTGCGAGCGGAAGCGGAACAGCTATAACGGTCTGCTATAGGCCACCCAAGACTTCCCGCATTAAATTACATCGAATAGAACGCGACAAAGAAGGGCCTTCCCCTGTCCGTAGACCGACATAGTTAGCAAGCAGGCGTCTATAGTGAGACACTTCCCTGCAAAGCGCGGTAAGTGAGCTGTTGTGGGAGGAAGAAAACACAAGGCGCTTCTTTCCTACTTCAGTCTGGCAGCATCGGCTCGTTCAGAAGGTGATGTTTGGCACAACAATGAGGAGGTCGTGGTGTACAGTAGGGTTCACTCTATCGCTTTACAAACCTAGTAAAGAGGGCAACTTACCACATTGCTAATTGCTGTCTTTTCACAAATCTACATGGTTCTCAAACGTTTGTATCCTGCTGTTCTGCTCATTTGTTTTCTTTTCTATTTTGTATACAAAGCACGTGGTCTTTTAAATGCAGCCCATGTCAGAATGAGAAGTGTTTGCACTATGAGAAGTTGGGAGTACAAATACAAAACCCTAGAATTGTGTACCCCCTAGAGGCTAACCTACTGTAGCCTGCACAACAACAACACAAGAAAAACGTTTGACACACCCCCATAGGCAAAGTGGGGGAGAGCAAGGGGTCACAAGACCAGTCAAGAAAGGCAAGCAAGCCCAGGGTGGATCACAACGTCACCACACACTCTGAGCACAAGCAAAGAGCCACAAGGCTAGTTCACATGCAGAGGTATATATGCAACAAGCATCACAGTGATCTATATCTAGCAAGCATGCAGGTATATATATATAGATCACAGTACACGCAAAGTCTACAGCAAGTGAGGAAAAGTGGGCACAAGCCCCAACAAAGTGCAGAAGCGCTGATGATCACTAGGCGGGAGTGCCTTGGTGAATATATCAGCAGTGTTGGCCTGAGTGGCCACGTAACGCAGACGAAGCTGACCACGCTGCTGCAACTCTCGAGCCAGAAAGTACCGCAGAGCGATGTGCTTCGTTCTGTGCTTCAGTCTGTGCTCCTGTCTGTGCTCCTCACACAAGGCAATGGCAGCCTTGTTGTCAACGTACAGCACTGGAGGAGAACGAGGCCGCTCTCCCAGGTCGGTCAGCAGGTAGGTGAGTCAGCGTAACTCCTGAGCAGCCATGGCTGTGGCGTAGATCTCAGCCTCACAACTGGAGCTGAGGACTGAAGACGAACGTGTAGAACGCCAAGAAACTGAGCCAGAGCCAAGACTGAAGGTGTAACCCTGGGACGACCGCTGAGTAGCCTGGTCGTCAACCCAAGAAGCGTCTGAGTGCCCAGTGAGAACAACTGGGCTCCCTCCTCCAAGCACGAGCCCCATGCCCGACGTACTGCACAAGTAGCGCAATACCCTCTTCGCAACATCCCAGTGCACCTTTCGGTGCCTACCAGGAGCCACGTAGCGAGCCAGAAGGCCAAGAGGGTACGCTAGGTCAGGACGAGTGCAAGTCATCAGGTACATGAGGCAACCAACTAGCTCTGGGTAAGGACCACTCGGCTCTACGGACTCATCCGAAGGCAGAGCTGAGAGCGAGTGACCTATGGCCAGAGGAGTGGCCTGTGCTGAGGACCAGGTGAAGCCGAAGCGCTGAAGGACCTGCTGCACCATGTGTGACTGAGTCAGTGTGATGGTGCGGCGTGCTCTGTCCCGGGTGATCTGCAAGCCAAGGTAGCTGCGCAGTTCACCCAGGTCTGTGCACGTGTGTCTCTTCTGCAGTTCGGACTTCACGTGGGCGAGAGCCTCAGTGTCAGCAGTGGCAAAGACCAAGTCGTCGACGTACACGAGGATGTAGAACGGCGGCAGCGAAGTGTCGGTGCGCAAAAACAGCGACGGGTCAGCAGTAGACGGCGCGAACCCAAGAGCCGCAAGTGTAGTCCTCAGTGTGTCGTGCCACTCACGTGGCGCCTGGCGGAGACCGTAGACCGGCCGGCGGAGGCTCCACTGGGTACCAGGAGGAAACGACCCAGTGAAGCCAGGAGGGCGGCGCAGCCAGATCTCCTCGTGCAGACTGCCCTGCAAGAAAGCTGTGCTGAAGTCAAGAGAGTGAAGCTCGTAGTCACGCTGAGCGGCAACGTGCAGCAACACCCGAAGAGTGGTCATCTTCGGGGTGGGGGAGAAGGTCTGAAAGAAGTCGACTCCCTCTCGCTGACTGAAGCCTCGGGCAACGTAACGAGCCTTGAAGACAGGCGGAGAACCCGGCGGCCGATTCACCCTGAAAATCCACATGCCACTGACGATGTTCGCCCCAGGAGGGGGAACCTCGTCAACGTAAGTGCCAGTGGACTTCCAGGATGCCATCTCTACGTCCATGGCTGCCTGCCACTGAGAGGAGTAGGGACCCGCGATCGCCTCAGCGTTTGATCGCGGGGTAGGGATGTCTATAGCATCCGGGTCTCCCTCAGGGGCAAGCAGCATGGCCACGAGATGAGGCGCAGCGGCTGCAAGACACTCAAGGTCCTCGTGCCTGTCCTCAAGGACGTCCGTGCCAAGAGCACACTCACCCCCCGACGGACGGAGGACAGACAGACTCAGACTCAGCAACAAGGCTAGCAGCGTAGTCTAGACGACAGGCAGCAGCAAAGTCAACAAGCTCAGCGACCAAGGCAGACGCAGCAGAAGACTCAAACGAGGGGTCAGTGACAACAGTGGCTAGCAGACGCGTGACAGTAGGGTGCTCAGCACGAAACCGGTCAGACTCAGGGTCCGGAACGTGAGGCAAAGACGACTCAGGAGGGGACGGCAGAGGAACAGACTGCGGAACAGAGGAAGAACGACGAACGACAAGGCGCGTGCGGGGGACAGACGGCGACCGCGAACGCGGACCACGACGAACGGTGCGTCCAGAGCGAACTGGCGAGACAGGACGCGACGCAGGCTCACGACGCTCAGTAAGACCTCCTGACTGCTCAGTGTAAGGAGAAGGAGCAGGAAGCGGTGAGTCAGGCAGGAGGGGAAGACCGGTAGAAGACGGAAGACTAAGAACCTGGTGAAGGACAGAGTCAGGAGGTGGCAGAGACGACGAAGACGGCGGAGCAAAGAACAGGCGCGTCTGTGTAGTGTCACCAGCACCAGCAGCTCCAGCACCCACAGCAGCTCCCGCACCTCCAGTAGCTCCACCACCCCCAGCAGCAACTCCTCCAGGACCGTCTCCACCAGTCGCAGCGCCTCCAGAACCAGCACCCCCAGTCGCAACGTCCCCAGGAGGAGGACCCTCAAACACAACACCACCAGCCCCAGCAGCTCGAGTACCAGCGGTACGAGCACCTCCGGGACCAGCGACGTGGGCACCCCCAGGAGACAACAAACCAGCACCACCCGCAGCTCCAGTGACGTCAGTGGAAGAACCGCCAGGAGCAGGGTCCCGAGCCACAGGAGCGCGACGCTGACGGCGACCGTACCAGTCGCGCAGCTGCTGGGAGGTAAGAGGCACACGCGTACGAAGGCGGCTACTCCAAGGGGACCGCGCAACAGCAGACTCAGAACCCGCAGCGCCAGTGTCCGTAGCAGCTCCAGGACCTCCAGCTCCAGTGGTAGCACCAGCAGCACCAGAACCTCCAGGCTCAGCACCCCCAGGCTCAGCAAACCCAGGCTCAGCGCCCCCAGGCACAGCACCCTCAGTCTCAGCACCCCCAGGCCCCGCACCCCCAGGCTTAGCACTCCCAGTCTCAGCACCCCCAGGCTCCGCACCCGCAGGCTCAGCACCCCCAGTGGCAGCACCCCCAGGCTCAGCACCCCCAGCAGTACCACCCGCAGCAGCACCTGAGTCACCTGTGACCTCGACAGGCTCAGCGACGGGAGGAGGGTCTACCTGAGAGACACCTGAAGGAGCAGGACCCTGAGGGGGAAGGGGGTCTAGCGGAGGGGGACCTGGAGCGAGGAAAAGCGGCGGGGGAGGGAGGGGGGCAGTGCGGTAGGGGAAGAGACGGTAAAAGGGTACCGACTCGTCAAAGGTGACGTCCTGAGACGCAAAGACACGGCGCGAGGTGGGGTGGTAAAACTGCCAGCCAGGCGCGTCAGGGACAAAGCCAAGGAAGACGCAGGGAACGGCACGGGAGGAGAGCTTGTCCGCGGACGTATCGCGAACAAGGGCTCGGCATCCCCAGACACGGAACACCGACGCATCGCCAACCTCCCCCGTCCAACGCAGTGTGGGCGAGGTCTCCGGAGCAGAGACACGGGGCCAAAGGTTGAGCTGATGCGCAGCGTACCGCACTGCAAACGGCCACAGGAAATGGGGGGCAGCCGCATGGATCATGGAGGTACGAGCGACCTCCATGACTAAACCAATGCGACGCTCAGCAACCCCATTCTGCTGTGGGGAGTCCGGAAGAGTGAAAGTCTGGCGGATGCCGTGCTCCGCACAGTAGGCAGCCAGGAGGGCGGAGGAAAACTCACCACCCCTGTCAGAGTGCAGACGCAGGACGGGAAAGTCCGACTGGAACCGCTGGCGGAGCTGGAGACGAGCAGCGCGGATCCAAGGGATCAAAACATCAGGGACCTCACCCTTGGTGCGCAAGGGGAAGACCGTGGTGTAGCGCGAGTAGTCGTCGACGACCAGCAGGAAGTACCGCTCGTGGCCCTGTCCCCGGACGCGGGCTGGGCCCCACACGTCCAGGTGAAGAGTCTGCAAAGGAGCCTCTGTGGGAGGAAACGAGGAGGAGTGAGGGGTGGCGCGCTGCCGCCCCTCGACACAGGGAAGACAGGGAGGAGCAGGCGAGGGTGGGAGGGGAGGGAGAACTCTGGGAAGACCAGAGACAAGG